GATGAACTACACGCTATAATGAGTCTACACTGTGACGGTCTACTCGCTATAACACGAGTCAAGGGCATGACGGATTATTCGCTATAATGCCAGTCTAGCGCGTGACGGACTACTCGCTACAGCGCCAGTCTAGCACGTGATGAATTACTCGCTATAACACCAGTCTAGCCTTTGACGGACTACTCACTTTAACGTAAGTCTAATGTGTGATGAACTACTCGCAATAATGTGAGTCTACAATGTAACAGTCTACTCGCGATATCACAAGTCTAGGGCATGACAGATTATTCGCTATAATGCCAGTCTAGCGTGTGACGGACTGCTCACTATAACGCAAGTCTAGTGGGTGACAGACTACTCGCTATAACGCGAGTCTAGCGGGTGATAAACTACTCGCTATGTTAGTCTAGTGCATGATACACTACTCGCTATAACGCAAGTCTCGCGTTATGGCAGCTTTCTGTGATGCTGAAAGTTGGTACTTTAGTCCTGTGGTACTGGTAATGTAGTACAGTTGCGTGCGTAACGTCATTTCACTCCAACTTTTCCCTCTCACTCACTTCATATTTAGATGACTATCACATATCGTGTATTCATTGAAATAATCTATAAACACACCATATTTGAAAAAGTTCAACATACATACGTAAAAATAAACTTGTAAAACAGTAAACTGTCAAATAAACAATAATAAAACTACGGGCTGGAACTGCATCCCCACCTTCACCGTTATTCCTTAAGCTTAACGCTAATTCATTTTACGCGGAAATTTTCAGGATCGTAACCCCACGTAAACAAGTATGAAGATTTTTTTTTATATATATAAAGTATGTTCTATGTATATACGTTCTAAGTCCTCGTTTGACGCATTTCATACAACATGTTTTCGCTATAACGCAGTTCTATTGGGGACACTGCTTGCACAACGCGGAACGTGCACCGTTATAATGCGGTTTCTGAGTGGTTGACGATGAACTACTTTCTTGAGCTGCGCGGCTGAGTGGAGTGATACACTACGTGGAATGATACAGTAACGCGGAGGCGTACCCTCATATCGCTTCTTTGTCCTGTCATGGGATGACTGTAGGCTGAGTTTACAATGGAAATGTGCTCCAATAACTCGGTAATTGCTCGCTTAATGTGGTACTTTTCAGGACAAATGCACCTCCTGCCGCGTTCAACAAGGACTTACTGTAATTCCCTCTATTCACCCAGAAAAAGCCCCGCCGAGTCTCAAGGCTATTTCAGGAGGGCCCTGCTTTGGGACGTTTGGCTCAATATCCATTAACGAGTGGCACATAGGAGGAAACTGGAGTAGCTATCATTTACTTAGTTTAACACGATGGTTTATCCAGGAAAACCTCACCGAGTATAAAGACTTTTTTTTTTCAGGAGAGTCCTGTCACGTTTTCCTAGTCGGGGGTGATGTTGCTCTCTTAAATCCCAACTGAGTAATTTTCAGGTAATTTTTCAACTTTGGGATGTTTTGGCCATTACCAGTTCAACTGTACCTGTGTGTTTTAGCTGTGGGTGGAAACCGGAGAACCAGAAGGAAAGCCATGCAGAACAGGGGGAGAGAATACAAAATCTACACAGAAAGGCGCCCGAGTTGGGAATCGAACCCAGGCCCTTCTTGCTGCTATGAGTAGCGAGCGTCACCACCGAGCAACTCAATGCGTAAGAGGGGGTAACCCTTAACCCACGCCGTACTGATGGATTTAATCCTCCTTTCTGTACTCCTATATGGCCACCTCACAGCCCAAGCATGAAGGCGCCTCTCATTCCCCAGGCAGGGTCCCGTGCACGTAGCCCCTCGGCTCCTCATCCCTCCCCGTGGCCGATGACGAGGTCAGTGAGGTGGGTGGTTCACGTTGCCCGGACGAAGTGGCCCCACGCCTTCACCTGACAAGAGACCTCGCGCTGCCTGCACATACAATGGGCGCTGTGAAGTGAGAGAATGAGGAGGCCTACATTATGATGTTAAATAGGTGCGTTATGCCCAAATAACGTTCATATGTTCGTCAGCTTGTTCGTATAATGAGTTACGGAACAGGAATCTATGGAAATAAAAGCGACTTCGATCCCATTCTCCAACCCACCACGCTTAAACACGCAACACCTCAAACCCATGCTCGACCTCGGCCTCCTAAGAGCTGGCCGAGAGGAATTTGAAAAGCGATTTGTCAAGACCTCTCTCGACGGGGGCAGATGAGCCAGCATCATCAGTCGAGCGCAGCAGATAATTATATACGCGCCTTCTCCAGCGCACCGTGGCATCAGGGCGCCAAGTGGCGCTTCTCCAGCAGGCTTCGACTTGTTTGATAGACGTGAAAGGTATGAAGTTGAAGTGGAGTGTGGACCTTGGCTGAAGCTCATGGCCAGCCAGGCTAAGGCTGGCACAACGGGCCTGGAAGCCCAGAGGCTAAGCAGGCTGGTGGCTACAGCGCCGCCCCACGTGCGTCTTGTGCCAGTCGTGAGTGGCTCATGAAGGGTTGTTCATCAGCTGATGCCAGTGGCGAGTACATACAATCCTGTACCTCGTGTGTCTGTTGTTAAATATAGTGCATACTCGACTAAAGCAAGCGACACAAATATAAGAATGTGGCTATGCAGCCGGCCAAGTATTTTGTGAATGTAGGCGCCTTGATGGGCAGGGTCCCGCTCGCTCTCTTGTGTACCAGCTGGACTGCCGCCCGTCCAGTCTGACCAGTTCCGCGTGCATTCATTTTGCGCGGTGCGGTGCGTGGGTGTGTCAGTCAGTCTTTGTGCTGTGATGTGTGTGTGCCTGTGGTTTGATCTGTACGCGAGTTTGTTAAGAATTCACGCGCCTTCGGCAAAGTGACCCTGAAGAAACGGCGAGCGCAGATCGGCAGTTACTCCAGGACGCACGCGTGCTTGGTGTGCGTGGGGTTTGGCGACTGAGTCATTGCGGCAAAACATTTCCTCCACCAAAAGTAAATCGTGGAGTGCGTAGCTGCACGAGTAATCACGGCCAGAGCGGGCGTCCCCTGCGCTCTGGGATGATGACGTCACCAATTGTTTGAAGTTCATTCAAAAAAACAATGCCACGTTTTGGTGGTTGCCGGGATTGCAAGCCACGGTTTCCCCAATCTCCAGTCTTTTTCCGCGTTTACCAATTTACTCCTCCTCATCCATCACACACTAATTAACTCGTTCCACCCTGCACGAGCCCGATAATTGTTAAATACGTCCCACGTGAGGCACCAAGTAACCCTCCACCACCCGACAATATTGTCACGTTTACAAATATATCATTCATATTTGCCAATGTATTGGTCAAATTCCGGGCAGAGCAACCGGATTAGTGGGAGAGGCTACCTGAGGAATGGGAGGGTCGAGTGATCGGGTAGGTGGGGCTGGTAGCTCGGCACGCGAGTCCCTGTTGAGCCGTACAGGCATTGTTCCCGTGTGTATCAGCGTTACAAATCGCTGGTGGTACAATTTGTTTTTCACTACCGGCTGAGACTTTGGGTCCGAATACCGGTTCCAGCAGCCTGTGGTTAGACCGGTGTTTCAAGTTTACCAATGGATGCGCTCATATTTCGTTAAGTCACTTAATTCGGCTCAATCCCATCTGTGACAATGCCCGATGTGTTATGAGCACGGGAAGGAAATTGATCGTGAATTAAGCGACCTTTTGCATCGAATCTTGAGGTAGCTCTGTGACTTCGTCTTCCATGGTCGTTTTCTGACACAGGGGTGTGCACTGCTCGCTGGGGAGATTTTGTGAATAAATTTGGCTCTGCATCGTAAGACACCGTTTGCGCTTTAAGTAGAACTGGAGAAAAGCGAAACATCATACGATGTGGAAGCAGTCTCAAGTTCAGGTGTATTTAACTACCCAGGCGATAACTCAAGGCATCAGGGTAACTCTTATTTTTAAGAGTGACTTGGGTCACCAAAATGACAAGAGCTAAAACATTACATAAACACCCGTACAGAAATGAAGTGAATAGAAATCAGAATATAAAAAACTGTACTGTATCAGATGAGGAATCTAAAATCGAGATCAACTCAGAGCTGAATATTAAATTCCCTGCAGTACGAATCGGCTCAAGCGCAGATGACCTCTAACCTGATCACAGCACAATCATACAACACCTAGCTACAGACACATGAAACATTACACGAATATCATGGGACCTCCTTTGCCAGTACCAACATTTGAGAATAGGGTTTCCCCTTTTTTCTGGCAACAAAATTTTCTTGCTGTGGTTTTCACACCTGATGATGATTGATTGTGTTGCAATCGAAACGTAGTGAGAATTTTAATGTTTTATATTTGTATTATTTCATTGTTTCCCTTCTACGTGACTTTACCGAAAGAACCAAGAATAACAAAACAGGTGTTAAGATGTTAAAACACCAAACTGAAACCTTTTACAAGGAATCATATCTGTCTCATATGTTGGTATTGGCAAAGGAGGTCCCATGATGTAGTTGCTCACCCCGAGCTCTGATTACTCTGATAGTGCATTGTCTTTGTGCTGTACGCCTTTTGGCGTCCTCTGGTCTAACACCGTTTGAGACTAGGCTCCAAAGAAAGCTGTCTCTGGTGTGGACCAATCAGTTTCAAAGTCAATGCATATATTATCAGAATATTTTTTTGTTTGCATTCTGACCACAAGTATTGTGGTTAATGCAGACATGATTCCTTGTAAAAGGTTTCAGTTTGGTGTTTGAACATCTTCACACCTGTTTTGTTGCCAGAAAAAAGGGGAAAACCTAGTCTCACGTTACACGGATATAGGGGGAGTGGAGTGCTGATATGTATTATATTCTTCTGTATGGTAATAGGTGTCTCATGGCCCAGTGTGTCTCATGGTTGAGTGTGTCATGGCCTAGGTATGTCTCATTGTTCAGTGTGTCATGGCCTAGGTGTGTCTCATGGCCTAGGTGTCTCATGGCCGAGTGTGTTTCATCGTCTAGTGTGTCTCATGGCCCAGGTGTGTCTCATGGCCCAGTGTCTCATTGCCCAGGTGTGCCTTCTGACCCTGGCGTGACTTCGGACCTGACCCGCGTCTCCCCTCCGGCGCCAATGGCGTGGCACCCCACGCACGTGAACGTACTGGTGCGCCAGGCGCGCAGCTTGGGCCGGGAGGCCAATGCCTACGTGACCTTCAGCCTGGGCACGCAGCTCTACCGTACCTCGGTGCAGGGGCCGAGCTGCGACCCCAAGTGGCTGGAGGAGTGCACACTCGATATTGAGCGCTGGTCCGGCGGAGACGGCAATGGCGAGGCTGCAGTTCACGATGCTGCAGACGAGCGAGAGGGAGGCCGAGCGAAGAAGGCGAAGGCGAGGCACTCGCCGCTGCTGGTGCTCGCTGTGATGCACAGGGTCACGCTGGGGGCGGACAAGTGCCTGGGCAAAGTGGTGCTAGCCCTGGAGGAGATCTACCGGGACAAGGCGAGGGCGCGTGCCGCGTGAGTGATGGACGCGCTGTGCGCATAGCCGCTGTTATCCAAACCCAGGATCTCGGCGGTCCCCTCCTTACCTTCTTTCGTTCCTCTCTTGAAGCGTCACCTCTTCTCCATTGCCCATAGACTCAACGCTGCCCATAGACCCAACACTGTTCATAGACCCAACACTTCCCATAGACCCAACACTGCCCATCGACCCAACACTTCCCATAGACCCAACACTGCCCATCGACCCAAAGCTGCCTATCGACCCAAAGCTGCCTATCGACCCAAAGCTGCCCATAGACTCAACGCTGCCCATAGACCCAACGCTGTCCATAGAACCAACACTGTCCATAGAACCAACACTGCCCATAGACCCAACACTGCAATAGCCTCAACATGATCATGGGACCTCCTTTGCCAGTTCCAAAATATGGGAATAAGTTTTACCATTTTTTCTGGCAACAAAACGGGTGTTAAGATGCTAAAACACCAAACTGAAACCTTGTACAAGGAATCATGTCTGCATTAACCACAATACTTGTGGTCAGAATGCAAACAAAAAACACACTGATAATAACCAATTCTCATATTTTGGTACTGGCAAAGGAGATCCCATGATGGTGCTGCTCACCCCGAGCTCGCATTACTCTGATAATGCTTGTCTTTGTGCTGTACGCCTTTTGGCGTCCTCTGGTTTAACACCGTTTTGAGACTAGGCTCAAAAGTGAGCTGTCTCTGGTGTGGACCAATCAGTTTCAAAGACAATGCATATATTATCAGTGTTTTTTTGTTTGCATTCTGACCACAAGCATTGTGGTTAATGCAGACATGATTCCTTGTTAAAGGTTTCAGTTTGGTGTTTTAACATCTCAACACCTGTTTTGTTGCCAGAAAAAAGGGGAAAACCTATTTTCAGACTCAACATGCCCATAGACCCAACGCTGCCCATAGACCCAACACTGCCAACAGACTCAATGCTGCCCACAGACCTACCGCTGCCCACAGGCCCAATGCCGCCCACAGACCTAGTACTGCCCAGAGACCCAGCACTGCCCACAGACCTAGCGCTGCCAACAGACCCAGCACTGCCCAGACCCAACACTGCCCGCAGACACAACACTGATCATAGACTCAACACTGCCCCTGTATGAGGCTGTGAGGCTGTGTGCCCATGATCTCGGGGTGTCGTTGTACCCTTAGGTGGCACGCGCTGGTGGGGGGGCGCGGCGACACGGCGGGTGGGCGCGGCGAGCTCGAGGTGACCATTAGCTTCCTGCGGAGCACCAGAACAGGTGTGGGCCTCCCCCTCTTCCCCGCACCTCCACAACGCAAGCAGGAGGTCACACCAGGGCCATGAGACACACTGGGCCATGAGATGCACTGGGCCATAAGACACACTGCACAAATTTAGAGCCTTGCATTTTTTGTATCATATTGACTCAATGTCATTACCATTGTCTATCCACTGCTGGATGAAGGCCTCCCCACATCGCCACCCTGTATTGATGGTGCAGGGGTTTATTTGCCACGTGGCGCCTGGCACCTCAGAGAATCCTTGACTTTCGTGTCAGTAAATCCCACTGCAATCGACGACCCATTTATTATCGAGATGACGCTGGTTTACCAAAGGAAAGTCTCTGTTACTTTTCAGGAGGGTACTGCCAGGTTTGGGGGGGGGGGGGGGGGGGAGGGGGCAATGTTGCTGCTGCGTGTAATCCTAATTGAGGGATTTTATAGCTAGCTATGGGAGGAAATCAGGAGGAAACCCATGCAGAACAGGGGGAGAGAACATACAACCTCCACACAGAGAGGCACCCGAGTCAGGAATCTAACCTTGGCTATACTGTTACCACTGCGCCACCACCCTGCCGCCCACGGCATAAGGGTTGAGTAAGGCTTTACAATATACGGTGATGTCTATTGTATTCTATGCTGTGCACAATTAAACTCGGATTTGTCATTCTGAGTAATTTTGCCATTGCATTTTGTTCACTGACTGTGCTGCATGCTGTTTAAGGAGAGTTTGTGTTATTTTGGGGCATCTTGTGACAGTTTCCACAAAGCATTACACACCGGGCCATGAGACACGGTGGCTGTGCTAACCCCGTGCCCCGTGACCCCCCTCTCTCTGTCTCTTTCTCACCAGGTGAAGGGGCATCGGGAGCAGGGGAGGACATGAAGAACGGCCCCAAGGAAAGGTACGCTTTAAAAGACTGTTGTGGCGAGGGCTGTCAGCGAGCATCACCTACGAAGGCTGCCACGGCGCACGAGGTTGTGGGTGGCCATCACCACGCTCGGCCGTCTTTGTCTCCCCAGTGTTGATGTTTACACACTGCACCAGATACTCATTTTAAGGCTGAGTCGACTTAGGAGGTGGGGGGGGGGAGTGGGGGCCTAAATTGGTTCAAGTAATCGTCACTGGTGTTGCCATAAGCGGGAATTGAACTGGGGTATGCTAACTGCTATTCTAATGACACACAAACACAAAATCACCTTCACACTGACTCCACACTGATACTCACCAATACTCACGGATATGTACACACCTTCGCTCTCACCGAGCTTGGTGGTGGTGATGATGGTGGTGATGGTGCCGGTGGTGATGGTGGTGATGGTAGTGATGGTGGCTATGGTCGTGATGGTGTTGGTGGTGATGTTGGTGGTGATGGTACCGCTGATAGTGATAGTGGTGGTGATAGTGGTAATGATGGTGGCGGTGGTGATGGTGGTGATGTGTCCCTGCAGTGTGGCGTCTCCTCGCCGCATGTCGCTGGCTCGCTCCATGTCGGACCTGGTGAGCCGGCGTCTCGCTGGAGCCCCCCTGGATGAACCTGCAGGTTGGGAGAGGCACCAACAGGAGCATCACGGCTCCCCTCCCCCCCTCTTTCCCGCTCCACCACACTCGCCATCACATCAAGCACATCATTAGTGTAAACTCAGTAGCATGGTTCAACAACATACACAGCAGTGAATATTGAACATCGGGAGTGAATAGTGAACATCTCACACGGTGAGGCAGCCCAGTGGTTATGCATTTCTTGCTTGTAGCAGATTCACGGTACGAATCTGGCAGGCCACCCTGGTTAACACTGCGAGTATATTGACCATAAACTACTACGTGCCCCCTGCTTAACGGTGGATATTAACGATCCTGTGATTACATAAAAAAATGAAGAAAAAAAACTGCACTGCAAATTAGTCAATTTGGATTCCGCGCAGAGCAGCAGCAACATCGCACCCCCCCACTTACTGCGAAAAGTTGGCAAGACCCTCCTGAAATAGAGAAGAGACTCGGTGAGACTTTCCTTGGGTAAACGAGCATTATCTCACAATAATACGACCACAATCAAAATACAGTAATACCCCACTTTACATTGGGGATGCGTTCCTGAAAGGTGTGACGACGAATATCAAAACGACATAAGTCGAAGCAATTTACAGGTTAGGTGGTGGAGGCAAAGGCTGAGACGTGACGGATAATGAGAACTGACCGAAAACTGAAACTGAAACAGTGACGTTAGTGTGGGTTAAGGCGATATATATCGGGTATTGGTATTAATAAAGTGAAACGTATTTGCAAAACGGCTTAAAAGGGGGAGACGTAAACCGGGGTATGATTGTGTTAGTATATTTTTTATTTAATTCTTACTTTCTCACTGAGCCTTTCCATCCTCAGAACCAGCTCGTCGTTTCATGCCCGCAGCACCGTATGTAAGGCCCTGTTGTTGTTATCATGACTACAACGCTCATTTGCCCAGGAAAGCCTCAATGAGTCTCATAAATCTCCTTTCAGTTGGTAGGGGTGGGGGGGGTGAACATTGTGGTGTTTAATCAAATAGGATGCGGCTTGTGTGAATGTGGCCAGAGCCCCATATGCGTCTGACCGTTCTCACTGAAGGAGAGTGTGGTTAGAAGTTTCATATTCTGTTTAGATTCGTAATGAAAGCGCTTGGCTACGCCGTTCAAACTGTAATATAATGGAAAGAGATTGCAAAAACGTGTGGTTACCACTGGTTTCGCAGAGAATATAGATTGCAAACTCATTTCTATCAAACCGTTTTTTGTGTTTAGTTTGTTGTCCTTCCCCCGCAACTCCGATTAGCCCGATTGGCTACGTACGGTGTGACAGAAGTTCAACATACATACATATAATCTCATCTTTGCGGGTTTTCACGAAACATTTTTTAGGATTCCCAGTGAAACCAATGGTACCACACATGTTCACAATTGCTTCCCTCCACATTGCAGTTGGAATGACGTGGCTAAGCGCTCTCGTTGCAAACGTCAAACGAACATCAAACATTCAACCACACTCTCCTCCGGTCCCCGTTCTCCCCGCCGCCCAGATGCAGACACGCACACCCACAGGAGGTCGTCGAGTGCATCCAACCACTTCACTCCAGCGGACCCCAAGTCCAAGCTGGCTCGCTCCAACTCGGCCGTCGAAGGCCACGGCACTGACGCTCCGACGGCGGACAACGGCGGCGGCGTGGAGTTCGAAACGAGACCGCCGGGCCATGCATCGCTTGGAAAACCAAGCATTAGGCCTCAACTCTGGCCAAGGCCGCCTGAGGCGCAGGGTCGCTTGCTCTTCAGGAACCGCGCGCAGCCGCGGGAGGGCCCCACAGGAGCGCAGCAGCAGAGGGAGCTCGCCACAGCCTCCATGCATGCGAGCTTGGACAATGAGGTGGGTACACACGTCCTTACGGGAGTGGAGCAGGAGGGGTGGCCCCACGGTGGCTAGGAGATGTTAACTCCCTCGCCTGGCATGCAGGAGATCGTGGGTTCAATTCCGAAGATGACACCTGTATATTAGGAGTTTGCATGTTCTCCCCGTGGTCACGTGGGTTTGATTTCCGTTTTGTCCCTCCACATTTAGAATCAACAAGCCATTTTCATTGAGCTACCATTTGTTTTGTAAAAGCGATACCTAGCAAAATAAAAATAGTTGAATCGTTTAGTTTAATACTTTCGCCAAGGGTGTGAAAGTCTTAGTTTGGGAGAGGCTGAAGCCGGACTGCGCAACGCGTGTGCCAGTGCCGTGTGGTAGACTCTGCTAGGTGAAGGTTCGGCTCGGGAAAGAATAATGGACTCGCCTCGAATCACGAAGACTAGGAGACGGAGCGTGTGTGGTTCATGGTGCTCAGTCCTCGGTCGCCAACCAAATGACTTAAACCCTACACCACCCAGCAGTCAGAAACTTTTTTTTCATTCTGGAATCTTGGGCCAGTTTGAATTTTGGTAGAAGTTTTCAGAATGAATGAATGGGGCATGACCCTAGTTGTGTATAAAAAAAATATTTTCCAGATATTTCCACAAAACAAACAGTAGCAGACAATCTATGTGTGTCTGTGTGTGTATTACCCGCTACGAACCCGGTGACCCCAGTTCGATTCCCACTCATGGCCACCACCAACACCAGTGAAGCTTATCTAACTGGTCCTTGGCCTCCCCTTGATCGACTTAGCCTCAAATGAGTACCTGGTGCAATATGTAAACATCGTCTTTAGAGAGACAAAGGCAGCCGTGCGTGGTGCTGGCCTTCTACCTGCCCCTTCGTGTGCCGTGACGACCTTCATAGGTGCCCTTTAACAGCATTTGCCACTACAGTCTGTTAAGGCTATACGGGGGATCTTTGTCCTTGATCTATTGCTCAGTAGTCTGTCTTGTCGCAACCTCAATCGTGATGCCAAGGATAATTTCTCACCATGAATGCGTTGTATGCTTGCATTTATCTTTTAAAAATGCAACGTCAATCGAAGAACAACCAGCCGTGCTGCGGCGCGTGGCCTGTAAACCCATCGCTGTGGGGGCAGTGAGATCGCCGTCTCCTGGATTCTAGCCAGGGTGGGGTGATAGCACAGCAAGTGGGTTCATCCCCATCTGTATTCCATCTGTACAGGGAGTATTATCCTCGCACTTCGCATTCATGGGTTGGTCAAACATCCAAATGTAGATCAAACAGAGCTTGGGAAATTGTTTGCGCTGGTTCTGGCCGCCTCTACACTTTTCTGTGGTTTCCCCGCGCCTCTGAATCTGACAAAAACTGTGCGCGACATCACATCTGTGACGTTTATTCCATCTCGGTACCGTAAGTCCTCGTTTAAAGCGATAGGAGATGCGTTCCTGAAAAGTGCCACGTTAAGCGAAAAAGGTGTTTAGCAAAAACAATTTCTCCATATATAATCGAGTAGCGATAAAGTTTGGCGAGATACGATGGACTACGCACACACAGCAAGATGGCGCGACAAATAAGTGAGGGTACGCCGCTGCATTACTGTATCATTGCACATACTATATCACTGTACCGCTCGAAACAAGTTCGTGGTCGTCCGTTATAACGGTGGGAATTCCACGTTATAACGGTAGGAATTCCGCGTTATAATGGTGCACGTTCCGCGTTATAATGGGTGCGTTCCGCATTGTATGAAAAGTGTTCCCTAATAGAAAGAAACGTGTTACAGAGAAAATGCTTTGTGTGAACACACCCCACATTAAGCGAGGACTTATCGTACTTGGTAACGGTGTGGGGCCTGGCTGTGCGTGCGGAACAGAAACTTCGGAATCTCAGCCGGGCCGATCTCGTTGCGCTGATTATCCATCACAAAGAAGATCTGGTGGCCAAGGACGACCTCATTCGCTCTATGGAAGACTACATCGACACTCTGCTTCTCAGGGTCATGGAGCACACGCCCTGCCTGCTTCGCGTCCCCTACACGCCCTGCTCACCCCGCCGCTAGCCTCCTCACCTCCTTGCCACCTCACCAGTTCACCACCTCACTTCCTCACCACCTCACTACCTCAGCCCTCACCACCTCTCCCCTCACCATCTCACCCCTGAGCTCCTCGCCATCTCATCATATAACCAGCTCACTTCCTCACCACATAACCAACGCACCTCCTTGCCACCTCACCACTAACCACCGCACCGCTTCTCCACTCAACTCCTTGCCACCTTACTTCGTCACCTCACCAGTAGGCTTCATGCTCACCTCGCCTCCTTACCACCGCACCACACACCTCACCAGCAAGCTCGGTGTTCATCTCTCCTCCTCACCATGTCGTGCTGTGATGCGGAAGTGGGCAGACATGCGTCGTTCTTCCCTCTGCGGGGGCGAGGGCTTCCTCTTGAACTGCGCCACACGTGGCTCCCTCGGCTCGAGGACATGGGAGTTACGCCGTGGGCCACCTTGCTTCCCCTAAGCACGCCAGTGGCCTGGTCGCGCTGCATGCGTGATGCCATTTCACGAAAGTTGGGCCTCCCATTTTCACTTCTGCATGGGCCCAGCATCGCAGCACCCCCGTGAGAGTTCGTCGGCACGTGCGGTTGGAGGGACCTTGTCAAAGACGGGTGGCTGAAGGACGCTAACCCGCAGGTGCCGGCTCCAGCTCCTTCTGGGTGGGGCGGGAGGGGAGGCAGTCGAGCTGCTGTGTGGGGGGCCACCGTAACAGTGAGCACTGCTGAGTGGAGTGAACTTGGCTGGGCCAGAGGGGGCATCTGGTGGTGCAGGATCCACCCCGAGCGCCACGCCCCGTGTCGCCACTTTTCCCATCGCTGTGTCAGCTGAGGGCCACGAGGAATGTGAGGCTCGAATAATGTTTTTAAATACCCCATTTTTAAAATTCTATTCCAATTATGTATTCACGTCACGAGATACATGTTCATTTGGAAATCAAGCAGAGCAGTGCACCACCCCGTATCAAAGAATATCCCACAGAAGCAGAAATCACAGGACTACTTCCGAGCTTTGTATACCCTGCTACAGATAACTGTTAGGTTGATTAAATATATATTTTTTATTCTTAGAACTGGAATGTTGGCCAAATCAACTTAAAACTAAATTTTACGCAACGCGTTTTTTTGTTTTGCTCCATTGTTGGCGACCGGGTTGAGACAATCACCTGACTCCGCTTGAGAACCCGGTTTAAACCCGGTGGTCACCGACCCACCCCCCTGTCACTCTGAGCCGAGACGTTGAGACGGCTCCTCAGGGCACACGGCTGGCTTCGTTGTAGTTTCACGGCAGGGTGAGACGCCAGTCGCACCGTTTAAGGAGACAACATCTGGTTGATGACGTGGCCCAGCGGTAGCACGCTCGCCGCTCATTGCAGAGGTTTGCGGGAGGCCACCCTGGTTATTACTGCGGTGTGGATTAAACACAAAAATACTATGGGACGCCTGCTTCATAGCGAAGCGAACGTTACAGACGTCATTCGGAAAGAGAAACGAGTTCGCCATCGTGTGCCACTTGAAAAAGTACACCACTGAACATTCAATTCCGTTGTTGCTCTGGAGGCCTGGAGATCGCTGATTGATGTTCGGCCGCCGTATTAATGGCGTTCGTTGTAATTTCTCACTTAATAGAGGGGGCTGCATGAAGGCTGCCATCTTTCACTCCAATACTCAATTGGGATTGCACGAAACACCATCGCCCCTTACTGTGAAACTACTGCGGGGTGTGTCTAGGAAACGCAGCGCGTTCCTGGTCATAAATGTCTAAATTATACGTTTGAATAGTAAATACTTAATCGTTATTAACATTAAGTAAAGGTTATGAAGAGGTATGTGGATAATACCTTAGTTATCCTGTTAATTACTATACAGTAAACAAGTTTAGTACTGTATGGTCACATTTTGTACGGATGTGTGTGTGTACGCACATAGTATGTCATGTGTGTGCATGTGCGTATGAGTGTGCATTTTAATATTCTGCTGTCCCTCGCAATTGTCACCTTCATCCCCCATCTTTAAACTAAACATCTCGGATCCCATTCCAGAAGACCCTTTTTGCCAGTATTAAAATGATGAAAAAAAGAATGGGCTTTACCCTTCCTGGAAAGCATAGAGGTGTTAAGATGACCAAACACCAAATAGACACCTATTGCAAGGCATCAAATCTGCAATAACCACACATGCGTATGGTAAACATGCAAACAAACATTCTTTGATAATGTATGCATAGTATTTGAAACTGATTGGCCTACATAAGAGACAGTCTCCTTCATGGCTTTGTCTTACCAGTGTTAGACCAAAGAACGCCAAAAGGTGAACAGACAAGAACAATGCAAATACCAAAGCATTAATAGCACGGGTCGAGCAGTTTAATATATGGGACCATTTTTGTCGGTATCAAGATGACGAAAAAAAGAATAGGTTTTACCATTTCTGGCAAGAATATAGGAAGTGTTAAGATGTTCAAACCCCAAACAGACACCTGTTTTCACAAGGCATCAAGGTAATGGAGACCCTCTTCGGATCCCAATCACCTTGCAAACGTCCGCTGTCTGTCACACGGTGGATGTATCCCTGAGTCATGATGTTTTCAACTGCTCTCCAGGGTTTCTCCTCTGGCTGTTGCACGGAGATGGTTATACTGTGCATGGCCCATGACCTCTTGCTCTCCTCCAACCATAGCACTTTCTCCTTGCTTTTGTTATCTCTCACTGTGGCTTGCAGCACTTTGGAACGCTCTGTCTACCCTTCACGTCGTTCATTTCCTCTTATTGTTCGTTGTCTCTGTACGAGACCTGTTGTCCTCTCCTGTTCTCTTCCGCTCTGGTGTTCAGTAGAAGCTTAACATTCGCCTCTGCTCATGTTCATCTTCTATTCAGGAAAAGGCTTCACTGAGTGTGGTGGGCCACAGGATTGCCCCTTGCGCTACCCTGGAGAATTACACTGCCGTGTGGTCACTACCACGACTAGGGCTGTCCATTGCTGACCTTTTCTAAACGTTGGGGGAAAACACGTTAACCTTTTAAACAAGGGTTGATCTTTTGCCTCACTATCATGGTAAATAATGCCTCATTTGCACATTGCAATACCTTGGTGATACACAGGGTCGTGATGATGAAAGTGATGATCTGGATGGTTTTCGTGGTTGGTTGGAGTCAAGCTCTGCGAAGTTTATTCATGCACTTTACTTGAGTAGCAAGGCCAATAACAATAAGAATGGGGTTTTAACGAAGAAAGCCTCACTGAGTCTCGAGGATATTTTTAGGAGGGGACTGCTTTGAGATGCCTGGCCCATACCAATAATAAGTGGCATGTAGGAGGAACTGGAGTACCTGGAGAAGACCCACTCGTAAGTGATAAGAACACTGAAAGCTCTGCAAATATGGATTACAGAATGCGTTGGTATACTGTCAGCTTCTGGCCGCATCACAACCCAAGCTTGCACCAGCTGATATCCCAGACAGTCTCATTCGAGTTCAAACCAGGCTCACATTGTGTTGCTCCGAAAAACGCCTTGCGTATCGCCGTGAAGCGCAGAGCTGCAGCATGCACATCCACCGCCATGGTTCTTCACCCACGTGTTTGTTGAATGGTAAATATTTACAAATGTGATCAGAAATATATTTTGCACAGTGAGTGTGTTTTTAAAAAAAGAATAACTACAAACGTAAGTGATGGGAATTATTTTTCATTTATAAAAGTGCTGTAAATGTGTTAAAAAATGCGTCTGTAGGCAATCGAATTCTAATTCTGATAGGGCAGGTGAATCATTACTTGAAGGTCTGAATCTTGTTTTGCTGTGTGCTACGGGCTTTTTGTGGAGAGTTCACAATCAGGCTTTTTGAGTTCCATTTCAATCTTCCACTCAAAGCGTTTGCATTCATACAAAGCGTCTGTATATCGCTGTAGGGAAACGCCACTCTTCCATCTATTATCCGCTTTCCCTTTTATCCAATGGTCCGCGTGGTGGTGGTGTCGAGGCGTTTCTCTGCAGTTCAAATGAGATGTTGTGTGTACTTGATTTACTATGATTTTACAACGCCTGTGCTGATGTTTGGACACCTTACTTAAGTGTGGGTTTTGTATTAATTAAAGCTTCAGGAGACCGCTGCTTTCACTGCTGTGCTCTCATTGTCATTCCGGATGCGCTGGTGGTGGAAAGGATATCTGCACTTTATAAGAAGTAATATTTTAACCAGAGAGTTTCATTAACCTATCGGAGAAAACTTTACCCAATTAATGGTGCATGGCCCATTGATTCCCTATGAGGAATTGGCAGGAACGTTTACAAGATTCAAATGATTAACAATGACTACATCTTGCTGTTTTGCAGTTCTGCAAGGGGTTTAGATCACAATATTGTTAAACATTCCTTGAAAGAAAAAACTTCATAACTCGGGCAAACAGAGGCACAGGCAATCGCCATTGGGGCGGTAGTGTCAAAAGCGCACCGTGAACATTGGCGCCGCACAGCAAGGGGTTCGATTCCCGACTCGGGAGTCTTTCTGTGTGGAGTTTGTATGTTCCCTTTCCCCCTGTTCTGCATATAGGTTTCCTCCGAGCTCTGGTATTGGTCAAACACAATGTACTTACAAAAAATTACAATGAGGATTACACAGAGCAGCAGCAACACCGCCCCCTACTGCAAAAACTTGGCAGGAAAGTTGGTGTCTTGGCTCGCCTACGCGCGCATCATCACACTTCGCAAGTTGAGCGCGTCTCTGTGGAGTTTGTATGTTCTCCCCTTGCCATGCTTGGGTTTCCTCTGGGTTCTCTCAGTCCCCCTCTCTCCCCAAGCTAAAAAAAACCCCCAAATACAATGTAACATGTCTTGGTCAAACATCCACGTTGGCGAGATGTTAACTACCTCGCCTGGTATACAGGAGGTCGTGGGTTCGATCCAGACCCTGACGCCTGCTGTATATTTGGAGTTTGTATGTCCTCCCCGTGGTCGTGTGGATTTTTCTTGGGGTCCTTCAGTTTTTCCCTCCACATTTAGAAACATGCATTTAGAGTATTTGGTTGCTATATATTTCTACATGATAAGCCACCTCGTTGAGTTATCATTTGTAGCCAGGTCGCTTCTGAGAAAGCGCTATATAGTTCAGTGGACCTTACCTGGCAAAAATTAAAAAAAGGAGTTTACCTGCTAATTACTCAATTAGCATCATTAGACCTCCTTTGGGTCGAGGCTCAAAAGAAAGCCGTCCCTTGGTGTGGGCCAATCAGTTTCAAGGACAATGCATATATTATCATAGTATGTTTTTTGTTTGCATTTTGACTGCAGGTATTGTGGTTAATGCAGACATGAGTCCTTGTAAAAAAGATTTCAGTTTTGTTGCCAGAAAAAAGGGGAAAACCCTATTATTACTCAATTAGCATTACACGTAGCAACATTGCCTCCTACTGCAAAAACTTGGCACCACCCTCTCTCGTGAGAAAGCCTCGGTGGGGCTCCCGTGAGTGAACAAGCGTGACGATAAATAACGTTAGCAAATATGCGTTTATATTATTTATATTATTTTGCTGCTATACATTGCCACATGCTAAGCCACTTCGTTGAGCTGTCATCTGTGGCCAGGTCGCTTCTGAAAAAGAAGCTAATAGCTCAGTGGGCTTTACCTGGAAAGAATAAACATTGTTACGTTTTATTTGTATATATTTAGAAGTTATTTATTTACTGTTTAGGGGCCGTCCATAAATGACGTCAAGCGATTTTTGACGATTTTTGACCCCCCCGGACAAAAAGTCAGACCCCCCCTCAAATATGACGTCACAAAGCTCTGCCACCCCCCCCCAAAACCATATTTCCATTTTGAAAATAAAACATGCTTCAAATCGCTTTAAACTATTGTCATTGTAGTGCGTATTTAATGTGGCGCTGCACTTTGATGTTGTAGGAGAAAACATTTATTAAAAAGTATATTTAATTAAGTAGAACGTGTTGTCTGTATTTATTTAAAGTTGCGCATTTTGATGTGACGTCACATTTCTCAACCCCCCCCCCTCGTCACACATCGTCACAAATGTCTGACCCCCCCCCCCCCCCAGGTGCGTGACGTCATTTATGGACGGCCCCTTAATACATAGGCTTTCGCGACCAATATCATCCATAATAGAGTTTTTTGGGGTTAGATCGCGTAAATATGAGTAAATATGCGATCTAACCTAAAAAAAACTATTATGGATGATTTATTTACCTTTCTTATACTTTGAACTCATATTGTGTTTTTGTATGTTGTTGTTCTGCCTTGCCCCGACTGGACGTCTGTGGAAAAGAGCTTTATAGCTCATCGGATCGGATTCCTCCGGTATTTACTATAATGAGCCAATAATGTCTGTGTCCCGCGCGTGACGTCACTCCACGTCGGCCAGCCCCCTTCATTAATTCTCATGAACAGGTGACGTCCTCCACATGGACCCCCCCCCCCTCATTAATGATCATGAGCAGGTGACGTCACTCCACGTGTAGCACCCCCTTAGTAATAATCATGAGCAGGAGACGTCACTCCTCCTGAGGCGCCTCCTCCCTCCTCCTCAGCGTCAACTTACAACCCTCACTACAAAGGCAGAACCCTCACGTCACGCGATCTCCGTGACGCTGTTGTTGAGACAAAGAAGTAAAAATGACGTCATGATGAACAAGGGATTATAACCTTACAATGAAATAGGTCTGTGTCACCGCGGCCTTACAAATTGCACACTAATTGATGCAATGAATATCACGTCGCGGTCTGCTTTTCGCTTGCAAGTTTCAGATTTACTGAAATACACCCGTCCTTGGACGTGCAAAAGACGAGTAAATAAATATTCTCAATGCTTCTGTCATGAGCTATCCATCATCCATCACCTCTCAGTGCCACGTGCTTCCGCCCACGTGGTTCCGCTACTTCGCGTACATGCCGGCTTTGCTGTTGCTGGTGGTGGTTGTAGTTGGTTGTGGTGGTTTGGGTGGTCGTGGTAAGGACGTGAGCAGGGAACAGTCGCCCCGGGTTTGCCGTCGCGACTGAAGGCGACTGCCGTCTACCGCGGTCTCGCACAACTTTGCACAGCGCTCAGAAGCGCTGCGACTCGAGACCAGGGCCTTGCTCGGGCGGGCTCCCTCTCCCTACCCCCGCTGCTTGCCTGAATTCCCCGCCGGCCGTGAGTCGGCGCGCTACCCGCCCGGCGCCCCCCCCCCCACCAACCATGGAGCTGCTGCCGCGGAGCCACCGCGACTTCAGCAGCGCGCGCTACTGGGAGAGGTTCTTTGAACGGCGCGGCGACGACGCCTTCGAGTGGTACGGCTCCTACGAGGAGCTGGCGGGGCTGCTGCGGCGCTACGTGAAGCCCAGCGACCAGGTGCGCGCACCAGGGCCACAGAGGCCGCCGTGAGCTCCCTCCTCCCCTTCTGCCGCCGCTGCTGCTCGGATCGAGCATAGAGGAGGCGCTCGGCTCCCGTTTACAGCCCCGCGGAGCCACTGATGGTGACATTCCACGTTCGTATGACCGGGGGGGGGGGACTTGTGGAGTAGTGGTGACACTCGTGGCCTGAAAGAAAGTCCTGGGTTTGATTCCCCAACATGGGCGCCTTACTGTGGAGTTTGTGTGCTCTCTCCCTCTGCTCTGCATGGAGTTTGTCGGTGTTGTCCGGTTTCCTCCGATGGCTAAATATACACTCCCATACATTGTAATTGGTATTGGTCAAACATCCGAATGCTGATAAATTACTTTAAAATTACTTAATTGGTGTTGCTTTTGACATAGCACTATAGGCACCCTACATCTGTGTAACGTTTCAGATTTTTGTAGCTTGCATGGTTGTGTAGTCCTGTGATCAGCCTGGAAGTCACCTCTACCCGAGGCGATTCGTGCTGCAGTGAATGTAATATTGAGCTCTGAGCTAACGAAGATTTGTCGTGGCAAGGTACCGTATTCGATTCCCCATCTGATAGTTGCTTTTGTTCTGATTGCATTACTGCATTCATGTTATGCTTTTGTCATTTTAGTGACCCGGGTTACCCTTGCACGTCCCGTGTGGACCAGTGACGTGCGGAGGTTTCAAGAGCCGAACGGCTCACAGGGCTATACCAAATAAATAAACCGAAACTGAAATGGCTGGGGAGGCACTGGCGAGTGTCAGAGCCAGATTCACACACTGAGGGGGCGTGGCCTCACTGAGGGGGCGTGTCCTTACTGAGGGGGGCGTGTTAGACACGTCCCCCTCAGTGAGGCAGATCTGATAGTTGCCTCCCCTGGTGCTTTTTCATTGCAGTTTCATGACGAGACCGGCGAGCCTAAATATCTTTATACACATACGTCAAATAAGTTACCTGGAGTATGGAAGGCGAGGATATGAAATGAAGGGGTCTACAAACATTCCATTGGTGACATACTGAGAGTGACAGGCACGCGCTTATTTCCCGCACTCTATTCAGTTACTGAGGGGTTGCGCAATCAGAGGGGGGAGGCTGAGCGCGTCGCTGCCTCACCTCTCGTCTCTTCCTGTATTTGCAGCGGAGCTCCGGAAATTTGGCGATTTTGACTATAAAAATGATTGGAATTGTACAGAAATGACATAACACAGATCAGTGGAAAAATTTTAATATTTATTTTATTTGATTATTCTTCTTTTTTCGTAACAGATATTTTCATTGTAGTATGACAGGTGAGGCTCTGCCTCCCCTGACCGCACGTCCCTGGTGTGGACGTTGTATGTCCTCCCCCAGTTCTGTAAGAGTTCCTCCCATTCCTATAAAATCATAATGCACAGTAACTGGTAATGGCCAACCATATCCGAATAAACTATACACTTTATTTATTTACCAAGATCCACTGCTATACAGCTCTTTTTCAGAAAGTACCTGGCCACAAATGACAGCCCAACGAAGTGGCTTGTGTAAAAATTTATAGCAGCCAAATACTCTAAACGCATGTTGATTCTAAATGCGGAGGAAACAACTGGAGGACCCGGGGAGACGACGCAAACTGCAAATATACAGGCGCCAGGGTTAGGATCGAACCCACGACCTCCTGCATACCAGGGGAGGGAGCTAAGATCTCATAACCGCAGCGAGTGTGGGAACTGGGTGAGTTTACATCTTCGCCACCGTGGCACCCCAATGCTGACAAATTACCTGCAAATTGCTCAATTGGGATTACAAAAAGAGCAGCAGCAAACTTCGTAACCCTGCTCCAAAACACCTGACACGCCTCGGTTGAGGTTTTCCTGTACTGTCCGTGCTGCACTCTTGCCACGGCCGTACTAACTGTGCATGTGGCTGGGTGGAGGGGGTGACTCCTGTATGGCTGGGTGGCTCCTGTGTGGCTGGGTGGGGGGTGGCTCCTGAGTGGAGGGGGTGACTCCTGTGTGGCTGGCTCAGTGGGGGTGGGGGGTGACTCCTGTGTGCTTGCGTAGGGGGTAGCTCTTGTGTGCCTGGCTCGGTGGGGGAGGGGGGCTTCTGTGTGGCTGGCTCGGTGGGGGGTGGCTCTTGTGTGGCTGGTTCGGTGGGGGGTGACACCTGTGTAGCTGGGTGGGGGGTGGCTCCTGTGTGGGTGGCTTTCTAGGGGGATGACTCCTCTGTGGTGGGGTGGCAGGTGCTGGTGGTTGGCTGCGGGAACTCGGAGCTGAGCGAGCGAGTGCATGACGCCGGCTTGGCCAAGAGTGTGGTGAGCGTGGACGTGAGTGAGACGGCCGTCAGGGTGATGCGCGAGCGGCGACCCGACCTCGACTTCCGAGTCATGGACGTCACCGCCATGGACTTTGACGACGGCTCCTTCCAGGTGCGGTTTATGTCAAACCTGGCACTGACATTGTGTGAGTGGTGATGCCCGTGTGTGTGTGGGTGCTGTGAGTGGTGATGCCCGTGTGTTTGTGCTGTGAGTGGCAATGCCAATGTGTGTGTGTGCTGTGAGTGGTGATGTCCCCGTGTTAGTGCTGTGAGTAATGACGTCCACGTGTGTGTGTGCTGTGAATGGTGATGCCCATGTGTGTGTGCTCTGAATGTGGGGAGCGGTAGTGTCACGGTTAGCACGCTGCGCTATGAACCCAATGACCCGGGTTAGATTCCCGCTCACGGCCAACACCAGTGACGATTATCTGAATCGGTCCTGGGCCTCCCCTAGGTCGACTCAGCCTCAAATAAGTACCTGGTGCAGTGTGTAAACATCGCCACTGGGGAGACAAAAGCGGTCGGGCGTGGTGCTGGCCACCCACCCCCTCGTGTGCCGTTCCGGCCTTCATAGGTGCTCGCTAATAGCACTTGCCCCTGCAGTCTGTTAAGGCTATATGGGGGGTCTTTGTCTTTGAATGTGGAGAGCGGTAGTGTAGCAATTAGTGCGCTGTGCTACAAACCTAGCGACCCGAGTTCGATTGCCGCTCATGGCCAACACCAATAACGATTATCTGAAGCGGTTCTGGGCTTCCTCTAGGTTGACTCAGCCTTAAACGAGTCCCTGGTGCTGTGTGTAAACATCGCCACTAGGCAGACAAAGGCAGTCGGGCATGGTACTGGCAACCACAACCCCTCATGTGCTGTTCTGGCCTACATAGGTGCTCGCTAACTGCACCTGCCCCAATAATCTGTTAAGGCTATATGGGGGATCTTTGTCTTTGAGTGATAATGACCTTGTGTATGTGTGTGAGCAGGTGGTGCTGGACAAGGGCACCCTGGACGCACTAATGCCAGACTCATCTCCTCCCACGCTCCTCACCGTGACGCGCATGTTCTCTGAGATCTCCCGCGTGTTACAGGTGCTTCCTCCATCCCCCCCCATAGCTACACACCTGGGATGTGTCCCAGGCTACCAACGTGAGTATGAAGTTTAATTCATAATAAAAGAAGACTTTAAAGTTACAATACAGTGCACCCCCTTGTGCCGTCTTTGCTCGGGCGTATTCATGTGTGTGGGAGTGATGTCGACGATACAGCTGAAGCATGACAGTACATGAGCTCGGCTAGAATGTAATTTCAGTACGTGGCTAGGAATTGATTTGAATCAATCCATTGAGCGTTTTGCCGCGTGCACCCATCCTCTGCTCGTGTCTCTGGCTGCATGTGCCCGCCAGTTCGGAGGGCGGTACCTGTGCGTGTCGCTGGCCCAGGAGCACATCCTGCACATGCTGGTAGAGCACTTCAGCACCGTCGAGGGCTGGCCGGTACGCGTGCACGTGCTGCCACAGGCCCCCACCAGCCCTGCTGGCTCCACCGAGCACACCGGGCCCAACATGCCGGTCTTTTTCGTGGTGCTTACACGCTTCCACAGGCTGCCCGGTCCAGCACAGCCACCCATCTTGGAGCTCTGTCTGGACAGCCAAGGTGGTGGCAAGCCCACACGGTACCCACACTCACCCACCGAGTACCCACACTCACCCACCGAGTACCCACACTCACCCGGTACCTACACTCACTCACCCAGTACCCTCACTGGCCGCGGTGGAGAGATGTTAACTACCTCGCCTGGTATACAGAAGGTTGTGAGTTCGATCGCGACCCTGATGCCTGCTCTATATCTGGAGTTTGCATGTTCTCCTCGTGGTTGAGTGGATTTTTCTCCAGGTCCCCAGTTTTTCCCTCCACATTTAGAAAGATGTCTTTGGAGTATTTGGCTTCTCTAAATTTCCACATGATAAGCCACTTAATTGGGTTATCATTTGTGGGCAGGTCACTTCTGAAAAAGAGCTATTTAGCTCAGTGGGCCTTACCTGGTAAAATAAAAATAGTCAGTAGTTTAGTAGCGTTTATTCTGTGTTTCCAGGCTGTAGTGTCAGTGCTGTGTCCAGGCTTTAGCGTCAGTGCTGTGTTTCCAGGCTGCAGCGTCAGTGCTGTGTGTCCAGGCTGCAGCGTTAGTGCTGTGTATCCAGGCTGCAGCGTTAGTGCTGTGTCCAGGCTTTAGCGTCAGTGCTGTGTGTCCAGGCTGTAGCGTCAGTGTTGTGTGTCCAGGCTGTAGCGTCAGTGCTGTGTGTCTAGGCTGTAGCGTCAGTGTTGTGTGTGTCCAGGCTGGAGAGCTCGAAGTGGCTGCTAAGTGCTGTGCAGGACCACCAGCTCTTGGCCATTGTGAGAAGTCGGCTGCAGCGCCCGGATGGTGCTGGGGAGGACTGCTCACTCGACCTCCTGGCCCCTGGGGCAAGCTCCCCACGTTATTCGCTCCACGTGGTGGACCGCCGGCCCTCACCGCCCGGGAAAGCCTTCGCCATCTTCATTGGTGTGGCACTGAGCAAGCACAGTCGTGACGCACGATCACACGTGCTTCCTTCATTCGCTTGTTCGCTTCCCTCTCGGTAGCCTCGCTCTCCCTCTCGGTAGCTTTGCTCTACCTCTGCTCGGCATCTTTAATACAGGGAAGCTCGTGGCAGGAGTCTGGGGCTGGAAGCGCTCGTTACCTTTGGGTTGAATGCTTTCAAAACAAATGAGATCGACAATAAAAAAAGTCAGTACAAATGAGATACTAAACAATTGTTAATTGACAAAGTTATCCATTATCATTCTGGTCGTTAGCAGCCACGATCTGCCGGAGGAAGGCCTCCCCGAGCCGCCCAACATCTCTCACGGTCTCGCAAAGCGAACAATTCATCCGGTCCCTGCACGTGAGCCAATCTGATCGCCCCCCCCACCCCTGCCCCCCCCACCCCTGCCCCACCCCTGCCCCCACATGCGCAGTGCCCCAGGGCCGTGAGAGCGAGTGGCTGTTCGGCTCCCGTGAGGGCCGACGGCAGCTCGCGGCGTCGGCGGGGTTTGGCCGGCTGGTGGTGGCCACGCTGCACCGGGGCCAGGACTACGCGGGCGGCATGGAGGCGGTGCAGGCCGAGCTTTCGGGCCCTGTCATGCAGCTGGCGCCGCCGGGCCTTTCCTCCCGTCGCCAGCAGGTGGGGCTCGCGACACGCGGTGCACCGCAGTGCCTGGACAGACTGCGCCGGAGAGAGACCCGCGTGTCGTGAATCGCCCCTCAAACATCTGAACTGGTTCCTGGGCTTCCCTTAGGTCGACTCCGCTTTATAATGCGTACCTTGTGTACCGTATGTAAACATCACCATTGGGGTAACAAAGGCTGCAGGGCGTGGTGCTGGCCATCTACCTGCCCCCTCGTGTGTCGTGCCAGCCTTCATAGGCGCTAATCGTTAACAGCTCTTGCTCCTACAGTCTGTAAATGGTCCTTGGGGATCTTTGTCAGTTTAACATGTAGGCTTTCGCGACCAATATTATCCATAATAAAGGTTTTTTTGGTTACATTGCGGAACGGCACATTTATATTTACGCGATCTAACCCAAAAAACCTTTATGGATAATATTGGTCGCGAAACCCTGCGTGTTAAACTGGCTAACTTCTGGGGAGAAACTCTGCATCAAGTGGGTGAAACTGATGTCTTCACTGGCATTCCTCATAAGATGCAGAGATTTAAGGGTAATACCAGCCATTTTTATTTCTATGACTACATTAACCCTGCCCTCTGGTCCTCGCACCTAATGCTAACAGCGGTGACATCATCTTTACTCTATTTAAGACCGAAACAGGTGTACATCTTCACAATTCTGGCTAATTGCCTGGTTTTAATCACCAGCAAAATGTCATACTCGAATTGTAAATGTTGTGGGTTTGCTCCCCAACACCGGTGTGTTGAAGTAGTAATTAATTGGCACATTTTGTTTGTGACAAACCTTACTAATTGACTGTATTGTGTGGTAGCAGCGGGTTTAACGACAGTTATATTTATGCGATCTAACCAAACAAAACCCTATGGATGTTTGTCTGTGCGTGCGCGCGGGCGTTCAGGTGCCATTCCTGTCAGCCGGGGGCCCCGGGGCAGGGCTGGGTGAACGCGCGGTACGGCTGCAGGCGGCCGGGATGGTGGTTGAGGACGTGACGGCCGAAGACGCGCGCCGCTACCGCCGCCTCCTCTTTCTCTCCAACCCCAACCTCATCCAGTCCGAGGCCAGGCTCATACCCAGTGTGTGCTCACACTCGCTCACGCTCGCACACGGACACATGGACTCACGGACACGCACACTTACACGGACACGCACACTCACACATGGACATGTAGTCGCACACAGACACGCACACTCGGACAGGCACACTCGCACACTTGCACGCAGACACGCACACTCTCACATGGACACGCACACTTGCACATAGACACGCACACTCGCACATGGACACGCACACTCACATGCACACTCATACATGGACACACACTCACACGTGGACACTCGCACACGGACACACAGAATCAGAATCACAGTCTTTATTTACGCTGGAGGAATCTGTGGAGCTTTGAAGCTCTTTTTCACAGATCTCCAGTAGGACACACGCACACACCGAGAAACGAACACATTGGAGGAAGATAACGATCAAGTCACGCTCCACCCAGTTAGCCGAGTGGCACCGAGCACGTTAACCACGTGCGCGGGAATGGAGTGCAAATCGCAAATACAATGGCGGGGTTTGCTAACCATGTGGGGACGAGAGAGACGCCCGAGTCGGGAAACGAACCCGGGTCCTCCTCGCTGCGAGGCACGAGTGCCAGCGGTGCTGCACGTCTTTCCGCAGGCACTGCCTTGGCGACAAAGAAGAAGAACAAAAAGAAGAGTCCGGGACGGCGAGCAGAGCCGGGGGGAGCCGCAGCAGTGCGCACCGCGGACGGCGCGGAGATCGACGCCGCCTTCCTCTCCTGCGATCACCACCAGGCCATGGTGGGCGGCCTCGCCCTACTGCGCTTCGAGCCAGGTATCGGCCCAGTGGCTTGCACGGCTGCCCGCCGCTTGCGTGTCTCGACGGGCCTGTGCCCACACGCCCGTTGACTTCCATGCCCTGCTGGTTCTCCCTCACGCCCCATGCCCCCTGCGCGTGGCTCCGCCGTGTCGACGCGCCGTGTCGATGCCATGTTGACGTTGCTCCTCTTTGACGTGCCGCGTTGGCATTGCGCCGCGTTAAAAGTCGCTCCGCGTTGCTCCATGTTGATGCGCCGTGTTGATGTACCGTCCATGCATTGCTCTGCGTGCGCCGGACACAGCCGCCGCGTTCCGTGTGCTGCTGGTTGGCCTTGGCGGCGGCTCCCTGCCGCTCTTCTTGCACCGCCTCTTCCCGGCCTGCTCCCTCGTCGTCGTGGAGATCGACCCGGCGGTGGTTGCCGTGGCGTCCGAGTGGTTCGGTTTCTGTGGCGACGAGCGCGCCCACGTGGTGGTCGGGGATGGCGTTGCTCACATCCGGGCCATGGCCGCTCGCGGTAATGGCCGTCACTGGGCACCGCGGAACCACACGTTGCGTGCTGCTCACGTGCTGCTCATGTGCTGCTCATGTGCTGCTCATGTGCTGCTCATGTGCTGCTCATGTGCTGCTAGCCTGTTGCTAGCGTGTTGAGAGCGTATTTTAACCGTTTTGTGAGTGTGCTCCAAGCGCGTTGCGAGTGTGCTGCTAGTGTGCAACAAGCGTGCTGGGAGCTTGTTGCTCACGTGTTGCAAGCGTGCTGCTAGAGTGTTGCCAGCATGTTTTCGAGCATGTTGTGAGCGAGCTTCCGAACTCCTTGCCAGTGTGTTGCTAGCGTGTTGAGAGCGTGTTGAGAGCGTGTTGTGAGCCTGCTGCGAGATTGCCGCGAGCATGCTGCTTGCGTGTTGCTAGCGTGCTGCGAGCGTGTTGCTAGTGTTACGCGTGTGCCGTGCAGGCGAGCCGGCACTGGACGCGGTGCTGTTTGATGTGGACAGCAAGGAGCCGGCGCTCGGCATGAGCTGCCCCCCGGCGGCCTTCGTGGAGCCAGCGCTGCTCCGGGACGTGGGCTCCTTGATCGGCCCGCACGGTAACACTCACCACACGCTCGCCACTCTCACCGCTCTCAGTCACCACTCACCGCTCTCACCACACGCTCGCCACTCTCACCGCTCTCAGTCACCGCTCTCACCACGCTCGCTCACCACATGCTCACCACTCTCACTCACCGCTCTCAGTCACCACTCACCGCTCTCACCACACGCTCGCCACTCTCACCGCTCTCAGTCACCACTCTCACCGCTCTCAGTCACCGCTCTCACCACGCTCGCTCACCACATGCTCACCACTCTCACCGCTCTCAGTCACCACTCACCACTGTCACCACACGCTCGTCACTCTCACCGCTCTCAGTCACCACTCTCAGTCACCGCTCTCTCCACGCTCACTCACCACTATCTCGCTCACCACATGCTCACCACTCTCACCGCTCTCAGTCACCACTCACCGCTCTCACCACACGCTCGCCACTCTCACCGCTCTCAGTCACCACTCACCACTCTCACCACACGCTCGCCACTCTCACCGCTCTCAGTCACCACTCACCGCTCTCAGTCACCGCTCTCACCACGCTCGCTCACCACTCTCTCGCTCACCACATGCTCACCACTCTCACTCACCGCTCTCAGTCACCACTCACCACTCTCACCACACGCTCGCCACTCTCACCGCTCTCAGTCACCACTCTCACCGCTCTCAGTCACCGCTCTCACCACGCTCGCTCACCACATGCTCACCACTCTCACTCACCGCTCTCAGTCACCACTCACCACTCGCACCACACGCTCGCCACTCTCACCGCTCTGTCACCACTCTCACCGCTCTCAGTCACCGCTCTCTCCACGCTCACTCACCACTATCTCGCTCACCACATGCTCACCACTCTCACTCACCGCTCTCAGTCACCACTCACCACTCTCACCACATGCTCGCCGCTCTCACCGCTCTCAGTCACCACTCACCGCTCTCAGTCACCGCTCTCACCACGCTCGCTCACCACTCTCTCGCTCACCACATGCTCACCACTCTCACTCACCGCTCTCAGTCACCACTCACCACTCTCACCACACACTCGCCACTCTCACCGCTCTCAGTCACCACTCTCACCGCTCTCAGTCACCACTCTCACCGCTCTCAGTCACCACTCTCACCGCTCTCACCACGCTCGCTCACCACTCTCTCGCTCACCACATGCTCACCACTCTCACTCACCGCTCTCAGTCACCACTCGCCACTCGCACCACACGCTCGCCACTCTCACCGCTCTGTCACCACTCTCACCGCTCTCAGTCACCGCTCTCACTACGCTCGCTCACCACTCTCTCGCTCACCACATGCTCACCACTCTCACTCACCGCTCTCAGTCACCACTCACCACCCTCACCACACGCTCGCCACTCTCACCGCTCTCAGTCACCACTCTCACCGCTCTCAATCACCGCTCTCAGTCACCGCTCTCACCACGCTCGCTCACCACTCTCTCGCTCACCACATGCTCACCACTCTTGCTCACCACTCTTGCTCACCGCTCTTGCTCACCGCTCTCACTCACCGCTCTCACTCACCACTCTCACTAGACGCTCGCCACTCTCACCGCTCTCAGTCACCACTCTCACCGCTCTCAGTCACCGCTCTCAGTCACCGCTCTCACCACGCTCGCTCACCGCTCGCTCACCACTCTTGCTCACCGCTCTTGCTCACCGCTCTCGCTCACCGCTCTCGCTCACCGCTCTCGCTCACCGCTCTCGCTCGCCACTCTCTCGCTCGCCGCTCTCGCTCGCCACTCTCTCGCTCGCCACTCTCTCGCTCGCCACTCTCTCGCTCACCACTCTCTCGCTCACCGCTCTCGCTCACCACTCTCTCGCTCACCACTCTCACCACACACTCACCACTCATTCACAAACCACTCTCACTCACCACGAGCTCATCACTCATTCGCACTCATCACTCTCAGTCGCTCACCAATCTCACCATTCTCCATCACTCACCAATCTCACCATTCTCCCTCACTCACCACTTTCACCACTCTTACTACACTCGCTGCTCACTCGCTCACTACTCTCACTCACCACTCAATCGCACACCACTCGCACTCACTAAACTTACCACTTTCACCACTCTCTCACTCACAAACCACTGTCATTCACCACTCTCACTCACTCACTTTCACTCACACGCGACTCTCACTCACCACACACACCACTCTCACCACTCCAACTCACACACCACTCAAAAGACAAAGATCCCTATTTAACCTTAACAGACTGTTGGGGCAAGTGCTGTTCGCACCTATGAAGGCGAGGGGGTGCGTGGATAGCACCATGCCCGGTTGCTTTTGTCTCCCTAGTGGCAATGTTTACACCAGGCCCAGGACCGGTTCAGATATTCATCACTGGTGTTGCCCGTGAGCGCGAATCGAACTTGGGTGCCGGGTTCATAGTGCAGTACGCTAACCGCTTCACTACTGCTCCCCATGCTCCACTCTCGCACCCTATTCTCACACACCACTCACACACCATTCTCACACACTCTACACTCTCATACACTTACCACTCTCACCCACACTCACACACCACTCCAGTATCACCACTCTCATTCAGTCTCATTCACTCACCACTCCAGTCACACCACTCTCACACACTCACCACTATCACTTTGAGTGGAAGATGGCCGCCTTCACGCGGCCCACTGTTAAGTGAGAAATCACGACGAATGCTATCAACGCAACGACCGAATACACTGTGTAACAAAAAAAGTGTCCCTGGGTAGTATTATTTCCTAATTGCTTATGCCTCGAAAGTACAGAAAATGGCTATTATTCCCCACAAACTTTGCTTTTGTGACCAGGATAGTGATATTTTGAAATGTACCTATTTTCAATGAGAAAACGTGTGCATTTGTGTCAATACTTCACATAAAGTCCTGGTCACAAAAGCAAAGTTTGTGGGGAATAGCCATTTTCTATACTTTTTAGGCATAAGCAATTAAAAAATAACACTTACTACCCAGGGACAAAAATCGTGTTACATAGTGATATATCAATCATCGAACTCCTGGTCTCCAGAGCAGCAACACACCCACTCTGTTACACACCACTCTCGCCACAACAACCGCCATTTTACACTAAGTGGCGGTGACATAACCATGGTGCTTGTACCAAGCTAGGTGCACCTTGAGACCACATGAAGTGTCGAAGGCTCATTGCTGGGATGTCACAGGACGGATACAGGTGCTATGAGTTGACTGAGATGACTATCAGATGCACCACCTGTGCCCTCCACTGTGCCAACTTGCTGTGTTTTAACCACTCTACGCTCTGCCCATTGCGAGCATCGCTTCTCCGGCCCCCGCTGTTGTTGGAGGGTGACCTAGTAGCGACCTTCACGAGCCTCCTCCTCTTGACACCGCCGGTACCGGTCTTCAGCATTTTTCTTTCACGCGATTGTGCTGCGCGTTTCTGCTGCTCCTGCCGCTGCGGCTGTGCTGGGCACAGGGCTCTTCATGCTGAACCTGGTTTGCCGGGACCCGGCGCTCAAGCAGACCACGGTTTCCTCGCTCAAGGATGCCTTCTCCTGGGTCTCCTACGTCACGATCCCCGAAGAGGTCAACGAGGTCTATTATTGCCGGGGCCCGGTGACGCTGCTGGCCGCCGCACCGTCACCGAACCCCGGGACGGCCGATGGCGTCTCGGCAAGCTCCTCTGAGGGAGAGGCAGCGAGGGAAGGGGGGGTCGCGACGAGACGCGGGGGGGCCACGGACGTACGTGAGGCTGGGCAGCTGTCGGCGGAGCTGCAGGCCTGGCTGCAGAAGCGGGCCAAGAGTCACGTGCATGAGCTGCGTCTTGCCGAGATGCTGGGCTCTCTGAAGCTCGCGTGACCCCCCCCTGCCGCTTGTGGACTGCTTTACTGTGGAACCTGTTGCGTGCCATGGGCACGACCCACCCCCCTCCACCTCCTTTGAACTTGACTCTTTTTAAAGCCAACTCCTGTCTCTCCTCAAGACCCGGTGATGATGCCCTCCTGTGGACCAGGCCAGATATTCCACATCAGCGAATGTAAGGCAACAAAGACCCCCCCCGAATAGCCTTAACAGACTCTTGGGGAAATTGCTGTTAATGAGCACCTATAAAAGCTGGCACTGCGCATGATGGGGGGGGGGGGGGGGGGGGGGTGGTTAGCCAACAGCATGCCAGACTGCTTTTGTCTCTCTTGTGGTAATGTTTACATACCTCACCAGGTACTCATTTGAGGCTAAGTCGACCTATAGGAGGGCCAGGACTAGTTCAAATAATTGTCACTGGCGTTGGCCGTGAGTGGGATTGGAACTCGGGTCACAAGGTTCATAGCGGGAAATACACACACACATAGGTTGTCTGCTGTTTGTTTTGTGGACATATACACAACTAGGATCATGCACCATTCATTCATTCTGAAAACGTCTACCAAAATTCAAACTGACCCAAGATTCCAGAATGAAGAAAAAGTTGCTGGGTGGTGTAGGGTTTAAGTCATTTGGCCGGTGAAAGGGTTTAGAGAGTCTGGTTTGCAGCACATTTAGTGTGGGCTCTTGGGAGGAGGGGTGTGTGTGTGTCGGCGTGTGCGCAGTACAGCGGAGTGTGTGGATGTTTGTGCTCTCGGTGGAAGAATGTGTGGATGTATGTGCACTGCACGGAGGAGTATGTGTGGTTATCTGCTCTGCGTGGAGGAGTGTGGATGTGTGTTATCTGGTTGTAGTAGTGTGTGGATGTGTGTGCGCGTTGCACGGAGGAGTATGTGTGGAAGTGTGTGCGGATGGTGTGCGCTGTGTACAGGTGTGTGGATGTGCGAGTGCGCTGCTTGCACGTCCTTGGTTGATATTGCAACCAACCGTTGCGTGATCGTGTCTTTCAAGGAAAATATCAGCTTTGCCAAGCCGCTGATGTTGAACAAGTGGAGACATCTACGGCAGTACTTCATATGTTTCTGTTTGGCTACAGCCTATTTCAGTGTATGCTGTTTTGTGGCATGTGATGAAATGTAGCACCAGTGTAAATAAATGAAACACCTCCGACCTGTGTATTGTGTTGCCTGAAAATGGACAAATCTGCAGAAAATATGGCGTTACAAAGACTCGAGACTTTTCAGTGGGTTTGTCGAGTTTTCACAGTAGGGGGCGGCGTTGCGGTGTAATGCAGTATTTTTCAGCATTGGGTTGTTTAGCCAGTTTGTTTTGCCTATGAAAGAAAACCCATGTAGACTCCACACAGAGACACCGGAGTCGAAATTGAACTGCTCCTCCTCCCATACGAATACTACAACTGTGCCACCATTCTGCCGCCAAAACGGTTAACTTTTATCGAATTGTTTTTTTTTCTGCAAAGATCTGCAGGGCTGTTTTGACACCGTGACGTGCCTGAATGTAGAGCTTTCGCACCGTGCGTAGCCAATCATGCTAATCGAGAGGTGCGGGGCTGGACAACAAAACAGATAAAGCAGTTCTAAAGAAATTAGTTTTCAATCAAGATTTGAAAGTGCCTGATGGTTTCACGTAGCTCTCGAAGGGTGAATATTTGCGGTTTGCCAACCGTCGACTATCAGGTTCTTGCTGCTTTATTGTCGCCTTTACTTTTCACGACTCCATCTGTGTTTTCACTTTTCATTTGTTCTTTTGAGAAAATAAATCCGTTGTGCGCGAGTTCTCCTCTGTTTCTGTGCATTCTCTTTAAGTGTGTGTAGCAGTGTGCCTTTAATGGTTTGCAATTTCTTCCTTTAACATGTTTCTGCAATATTCTGTGGTTTCACATCACTTGTTCTATTGTTTTTGCCCTCACTTTTAGTTCCCTGTCCATGACAATTATTTACGTTTTTACAAGGCACAGCAGACCAAAGTGCTTCTGAGCATTGTACAGAGAGATGGAAAGGAAAAAAAAAACATCTTTAGTTAACATAGGAAATTAGTAGATTTTAAGTTTTCTAAATTGGAGAATCTTGGTGATCAGGCGCAGTTCTTCAGGCAGAGAGCATTCCAAATATTTGGGCCAAGGAACAAAAATTCCTGAGTTCTGAAACTTTGCTAAAATCGTGGTTGAGTGTGGTCACGATGCGGGCACCTCGGAATCCGAGAACGAGGATTTGTGAAGCTGCAGTTTATCGGGCAAATATTGAGGCAATCGCTGAATTTGTTCATTCAGCAGAGTACGTTGAATCATGCAGCACGGAATCTCAATTGGGAAGCCGTTGGTGTCGGTTCCGTAATGTCTGGGAGGTCAAAAGTCGCGCAGAGAACGACCGCTCGGTGTAAAGTCGCGCGGAGGCGTTCGGAATGTCCTGATAAAAAAACAAACACATTCGCCAAAAACACTGCGACCTTTAAAATAAATATAGCATGCGACGTTACTGGCAATCGCCCTTCATAGCACTGGAACATCGCCCTTTTATATATCTATCCTTAAGGCAATGTTATTTAAAAAAAAGATTTGTAGTATCATGTTAATTGCATAACACAATGTTGCACACTAATTATATATGGGCCAAATCCTCTCCACTCCAGCGCTGTCCTACCAGACAGTCTCGTCCCTTCACCTGATGAAGGCCGCTTGTGTTGTGGCCGAAACGTCGTGAGAATATTATTGCGTTATTTTATTTTATCAATTTATTATTTTATTCTCATTCTACGTGGTGACTTTACCGAAAGAACCAAAGAAGGGCCAAATCCTGTTTATAGGGACTACCAAGCAAGTGAAAACCTTCATAAAATAAACAATTTAAGAAATAGCACAAACAAAAGCAACAAAGTTATCACAACACAGAAGGTATAATGTCAAGAAGTGCATGCTCCGACCACCTGTTTGTCAGAAAGTGCACGCAAGCGCGTGCACTTTCTGACATCCCCGCGCTTGATCGTTCGACGAGTCGGACTTGTACGCGTGCGTGGTGCGTGTGTGTGTGGTGTGTGTGTGTGTGGTGTGTGTGTGGTGCATGTGTGTGTGGTGTGTGTGTGGTGCGTGTGTGTGGTGCGTAGTGCGTGTGTGTGGTGCGTGTGTGTGAGGTGCGTGTGTGTGTGGTGCGTGTGTGTGTGTGATTAAAAAGCAGAAATTCTCTTCCCAGAAATGAGAGAGGCTCTCCTCCCACATGCGAGCGGGCGAGCCGACGTTTGTTTTCACGGCTTTCTTGGGAAAACATCTCCCACGCCCTGTCTACTACAACCCAGACACACACACACATGCACCACACACAAAGCACCACACACGCACCACACACGCGTACAAGTCCGACACTGCCAACTCGGACTTGTCGAACGATCAAGCGCGGGGATAATGTCAAGAAGTGCACACGCGCTTGCGTGTGCACTTCTTGACACAGCGTGCACTTGCTGACACAGCGTGCACTTCTTGACACAGCGTGCACTTGCTGACACAGCGTGCACTTCTTGACACAGCGTGCACTTGCTGACAAACAGGTGGTCGGAGCGTGCACTTCTTGACATTATCCCCAACACAGAAAGTAGTCTCCTAAGTCTCAACATCCAAGACCAGTCCAAACTTTGCACTCAAGCCAAGAAACTCATTAAAGTGATAATTTCCATTTCGTTTTGTTTCTGTAGCGTTTGAATGTATGTACTGTGTGGAACTTCTTTCGCTCCGTACGTAGCCAACCGTGCTATTCGGAGGTGCGGGGATGATTCGTAAAAAACAATGGGGAGGAAGACCACATCGGAAGTGGAAAGGTGATGAGCATGGACGAACCAGGGTGGAGATCTGAGAGGCAGTGCGAGAGGTGTTTCCAACTGGTGAAGGGCTGATGCGGCGATGATGTCCCAGAACGGGAGCGGAGGAAGAGAACCAGAGAGGCAGAAGACCCCCACGAGTGGAGGAAGTTGCCAGAGGTCAGGCGCCCTGTGGTTTCACAGCATTGACGTCACAAGTAATATAAAACAAAACTTTTTTTAAACACGCTTTTATGAAATGTACTAGTAATGGAAGAACTCCACGACTCCAGGAAGTGGCCCCGAAGCTTGCCATAACGTAAGGGGACCGTGGTGATTTACAGCCAACGTGAGTTTAGCGTGGACAATTAGACCCAAGCCGAAACATAACATATAAAAAATGATGTTTTAAAATATGTATTTTTTTATGATAGAATATAGTATTGCCATCAGTATACCAAGTTTGCAGTCGATACCACATTGGGAAGTGGGTACAAATTGAGTTACAAGATTTGAGGATACGACAACAGACAGTAAGTTAAATGAAAGCGTGAAATAAAAAGAGCACCAATAGAGGCACAAAGCAACAATCGCACGGGCACTTCCTACTCAACGATGCGAGATGGAATATTAGCCCCTGGTTTCCCAGCCGAGGTGTGGGATAATGAGCTTGTAGTGTATGCCGATGCACTCTGAGGGGGAGGAGGAGTACCCCTTAGGAAGGCTGCTCTTGAGGCGAGTGCGGCTCGGGGCCACCACTCCGCTCGCAGCCTCCCCCCACGCTTCGCTCCGGGAGTCGGCCGTGGAGTCGGCCGTGGAGTCGGCCGAGCTCTCTGGTGCAGAGAGGCAGCTCGAGGAAGATCCGAGAGGGGGGTCTACCCCCCGTGTGGGGCGGGGAGCTGCTGCCAGTCAGCCTCCGGTAGTAACCGGGATAGCAGCCCCTGCGCGCTCGGGGGAAGCATTGTCCTCCCATGCAGGGGAGACAGGACACCGGGGGAGAGAGCAAGACTTGCCGGGTTGAGCCGGCGGGCCGGCCCAGTCGAGCCGGCGGGCCGGCCCAGTCGAGCCGGCGGGCCGGCCCAGTCGAGCCAACGGGCCGGCCCAGTCGAGCCGGCGGGCCGGCCCAGTCGAGCCGGCGGGCCGGCCCAGTGGAGCCGGCGGGCCGGCCCAGTCGAGCCGGCGGGCCGGCCCAGTGGAGCCGGCGGGCCGGCCCAGTCGAGCCGGCGGGCCGGCCCAGTCGAGCCGGCGGGCCGGCCCAGTCGAGCCGGCGGGCCGGCCCAGTCGAGCCGGCGGGCCGGCCCAGTCGAGCCGGCGGGCCGGCCCAGTCGAGCCGGCGGGCCGGCCGAGTCGAGCCGGCGGGCCGGCCCAGTCGAGCCGGCGGCATGGTAGAGGACCGCGCGACACGAATCCCAGAGGAGTTGCCTGCTGAGACTCGCGGTGATGGCGCACGAGGGCCTGGCAGTGGCGTGGGCTTCTCTAAATCCCCCACCCTGCTCGTGTAGACTTCACGTTGTGACAAAAGTTTGGCGAGATAACATGTACGCACACACAGCGAGATGGCGGGACAAATCACTGAGGGTATTCAACCGCGTTATTGTATCATTCCACGTACTGTATCACTACAGCTCAGCCATACAGATCAAGAAAGTAGTTCGTCATCGACGGCTTAGAAACTGCGTTATAATGGTGCACGTTCCAAATTATAACGTGCGCATTCCGCGTAACGAGGCGTGTTCTGCATTATAATGGTGCATGTTCCACATTGTGCGGAATGGTCCCAAATGGAAAAAACACGTTATAGCGAAAATGTGTGGTGCGAACACGCGTTAAGCGAGGACTTGCTGTAATTAGCTTTGCTTTCTAATTAGATCAGCCTGTCTTCACTAGAGTTGCATTTTAACGGGTAAGGTGACATTACTGACAATCTGGAACTTAGTCCATTGGAAGTAATTTTCATTTCTAATTTCTCTGTTTGGACTCCTCCATCTCTATTTTGCAAACTAGTATTTTGAAGCAGGTGCTCAACTCTGCTGGTGACAACCCGCGAATATATTCTCCCTCGTTCAAATACCGAACCTACCCTCTCGTCTTTGTACCATTTACCCACCCTTCACATTGCAGTCGCCGGTGATGATTGTTGTAACGCTGGTTTATGTAGGAAAGCCTCGCAGAGTCTCAAGACTTTTTCAGGGGGGTCCTGGCAATTTTTGCGCAGTAGTGGGCAATGCTGCTATTTGTGACTCATTTGCATGCAGCTTTCACCATTGGGGATGTTTTTGCCATATACCAGTTACATTGTATGGGGGTTTATTTTAGCTATGGGAGGGAACTGGGGAACCTGGTGGAAACCCATGCAGAACAGGGGGAGAACATACAACCTCTACATTGAAAGGTGCCCGAGTCATGAATCGAACTCAGCGCCTTATGCCCTTATTGCTGTGTAACGTGTCAACACTGCGCCACCATGCATGATGATGGTGCACGGTGTTTTTCCCTAACAAATTCAATAATGTCATACATTATGTCTACGTCTGTATTGCATAGTCCTTATAATAAAAAAAAACATGAATGATAACACAACACTTACATTAAATTAATGCTACTGGAATTGTTACATTTAGTAGGGATGTTGACAAAGACGATGAGATGTTCTACAAGATATTGTAATTAGAACATTCTGGCAGCTGTGCTGGAATAAAAATATATCTATATTTTTAGATAATTTTCTGGTGTTCTCCATTTGTATTTCCTCATGCATGAAACGTTCCGTAATTGGTGTTTATCCACAGCTGTGAATTTAATATTTATGTCAATAACACAAAACACTCAGTTCAAAACTACAGGTAACAATCCATAAAAATATGTATTGTTTACTAGGACTGTAAAACCACTTCCTTAATGTTAGCTTTAGAGAGCGACAAAATATATGGGCGCTTGCTTGTCCGGGTGTGTTTTTTTAAAGACCCTCTTTATTACAGTGCAGAGCACTAAATTGAAGGTGACAAGGTGAATCGACACAACAAAGCGTGGAGCGCTGGTACACTGAACTCGGCCATCTGAGTTAAATTCCCAACTGCGGCTAACATCAGTGGAGTTGAGTAATATCAGAACCCTTCAGTGAACCCGCACTGACCAACGTGGTGAAGTACGGGGAAAAAAACCCCGATGGGCCACGTGTCGTGGGGAGGCCTTGGACTATTGGTGCGCTGAGAATGGCTCCAATACTAACGCGAGAAACAGACGCAAAATGCACTTCACGAGAAACGAGCGCGCAATCCAAGTCTGTGCTGACCGTTCCCACTGCTTGCGTTGTGTATCCTCATGTGACATACGAGGGCAGCCATGCCACACATTGCCTTGGCTTTGTGGGGTTGGGGTCACATTAGTGACGTGCGGTGAGGCCAATGGCTGGGGAGGCACTGGCTAGTGTCAGAGCCAGATTCACACACTAAGGGGGGCGTGGCCTCACTCATTAAGGCAGATGTTATAGCTGCCTCCCCTGGTGCCTTTTCATTGCAGTTTCATGACGAGACCAGCGAGCCTAAATATCTTAATACACATACGTGAAATAAGTTACCTGGAGTATGGAAGGCGAGGACATGAAATGAAGTGGTCTACAAACATTACATTGGTGACATACTGAGATAGTAACAGGCACGCGCTTATTGCCCGCTCTCCATCGAGTTTCTGAGGGGTTGCGCAATCAAAGGGGAGGCTGAGCTCGTCGCTGCCTTACCTCTCGTCTCTTCCTGTATTTGCAGCGGAGCTCCACAAATTTGGCGATTTTGACTATAAAAATGATTCGAATCGTACAGAAATGACATTTATAATACAGATCAGTGGAAAAATCTTAATATTTATTTGATTTGATTATATTTTTTCTTTTCGTAACAGCTATTTTCATTGGAGTATGACAGGTGAGGCTCTGCCTCCCCTGCCTCCCCTGACCGCACGTCCCTGGGTCACATGAGGCTGTGTAGTTACCCAATGACAACAACACATGAATGGAATTGTTCGCCCGATTGCAGTAAACGCCAGAGAAAATATCTGGACTCATCGAGGCTTTCCTGGTTAAATAATGGCCATTGTCATTTTGATGATGACATGTTTGGTTCTGAGTGAATATGTCCGCAGTTGCAGTACAAGTCCTCTAGCATACCTACAGTGGTAAACAGTGAACATTTGAGGTATTCTGATTTTATAATAAAATAAATTAGCAGATGATATGCCTTCTTTATCATATTTGTCTCTACACATGAAAACTTATACAAAAATGACAAATCCCAATAGCTTCTGGGAATAAATTTGTATGAGTTATCTGATAAACTGAATTTAACTTCTGTATTTTCAGAAAAAGTTTTACAATTAAATAGATATGCGGTACTTTAACCATTAACAATAATGGTAATAGTTCACTTCTTCCTGTTAACTACAACTGCGGCAATATTGTGATATTGCAGTGCCAAGATCTACTGTTCTGGCCTCGATCCATGTGAATTGAGTGGACCTATCCTGACTGTGAACACAGATGCGTCCATCACAGGGTAAAACTACAACATCTAAAAATCATGACTCCACACATCTGGAAACCAGAGGTGGGAATCGATCCCATGGCAGGTGGCGGTTGTGGGTACGCTGCTGCATATGGCTGCTAACCCAGCACTGTGGAGCCAGCAGCGAGGGTTGGTGGATCATGCACAGATGTTGATAAACTCCCTTCCCATGGACGTCGAGAAGGTGCCATAATTTGGCTTGCCAGAATGTGGACTAATCTCCATCTGTCATCTAGTGTTGCCCCCTCACATGCGTGAGTTTTCTCCGAGTGCTCCGGTTTCCTTCCACACGTGTAAACATTCATTAATTGACTGAAAACATCTCGATATATATACACCTCCGTGTATTTGTGGATTGTGCAGTTTGCATGAATGATGCTGTATGTACACCATTATTATTATTACGACACCAACTATACAGTACGATGAACCCAAGCCCTGATTGCTGTGAAGAGACACGCGTTACCACCGCTGACCTTGTGACCGACAGCTGCACCCACCACAACTGACCCCCGGCGATGCCGTTGCAGCAGCCGGCGCCCGTGATAATCACCTTGGAGATGGCGACAGTCGTGCGGTGCTATTGGCAGAGCTGTGTTCTGTTTGTGTTTCCACGTCACGTTTATGACAGAAGTATAAAAAGTGGCCTGGCGTTGTGGGAGGCCACAAGCAGCTCGTCCTGTTCTGGACGCTCGCAGCGACCGCGGCAGTTTAAGAGGGGGAATCGGTTGCCTTGGGCCTCATCGGGGGGCAAGGGAGCCACTCTGCCACTGCCACCTGAGCCTCAACCGAACCGTCGCCCTCCTTACATCCCCACGCTGCGGAGGTGAGCAGAACTCGAGCTGCCGTCCCCCTCGGGTCCGACCAAGGGGTCAGCGGTCAGCGTGCGTGAGTCGAGGCCCGGGTGGTGAGATGTGCGGGCGATGTGCAGGTTAACCGGATTGCACACAGACTCGGACGCATTCATCGACAACACGGTGTGTGGACTCAAGAGGTGACGATTTTGAAAATGGCCCTTCTTCAAAGAACAACCATTGCCCGCAACGTTACCCTAATGTAAATGCTTTGTTTTACCTTTTAAAGCCAAAGTGTTGTTGTTGTTGTCATTGACAAATACGGTGAGGGTTTTGTGTTGTTATTTGTGCTTGTGCACCACTGCCAACGCAGTGGCGTCTTATTTTATATTTTTAGAGCACCTTAGCTAAAGGCGCTTTAAAGAGTTTAAAATCGGTAATAAAACCAGAGCGATTTAGATAGCAAGGGCAGTGCAAGGGCTGAGGAATGAGTGACCATAACAGAGGGCACGTGAGGTCATGAAAGGGCTATAGGGGAGGGACGGGACAGGGTGGTGGAGTGAGGGAAGATGAAGAGAATGGGCGATGGACAAGTGGTGGAGTATTAAGATATTAAGAGTGGAATATAAAGGGGTTAAGAAGGGGGATTGCTTAATGTACAGGGACAGTGTTGATTCCATGGTGTGGTATAGAGTCTATGGGCAGTGTTGGGTCTCTGGTCAGTGTTAGTCTATGGGCAGTGTTGAGTCTATGGGCAGTTTTAGTCTATGGGCAGTGATGAATAATGTACAGGGGAAGTTTATTCCAGTGGTGGGATGCCAGGAAAGATTTGAATCAAAAAGGGGATTGGGCACAGGGAGGAGGGCAAACAGAGAGACAGAGAGAAGATTGTGAATGAAGAGAAGGAGGGGGACATAAAGAGAGGTGAGAGAAGTGATGAAAGGCAATCACAGAGAAGTTAGAGAAACCTGGCTACGTTTTCTGAAATCGTGAAGGCAGGCCCAGTGAAAGCAACGTGGCCTTAACTGGCATGAGCTGGCAAAACTGGTGCTCGGTTTGGGTGATGTGCTACAGCAACCAGAGCTCAATGATAAAAACATAAGACTAGACTTTTACCCTTTCTGGCAATAAAACAGGTGTTAAGATGTGCAAACACAAAATAGATACCTATAGCAATCCATCAAGTCTGCATTAATCACACATACTTGTGTCAAAACTTGCAAACAAACATGCTCTTATATATGCATTAATTCTAGATTTGAAGCTTTCGTGACTGCAATATATGCGTTGTCTTTTGACACTGATTGGCCTACACCAGAGACAACTTTCTTTCTGGCCTTGACTCACCACCAGTGTTAGACCAGAGAACAACACAAAAAGGCAAACCGTACAAAAAGGCCATGCGGGAAACCCCGTGACGTCATCACTTGTAACGAGTGGGGAACACGCAGGGTTGCGGATCACCGGGTTAAAGGATTCAAATACAGCACTGCTCTAATTAAATATTCGTATATTTCTTTACAAACTTAAATAAATCAAGTGCGGTATCAAAAAAGGGAAACGGTAAAACGTATTTTATCGTTGCAATACATTTGGGACAGCGATATAGAAGATAGCAGTGCTTTAATAACCCAGAGATTTCATCACATCTAGCAAGGCGGTATCGTGAAGTCGTGGGTAGCTTAGCCGTCTCTGAAGCAGTGAGTTTTGCACAATTTCCACGTCGCGTGGAAACTGTGCGTGAGTCCGCAAAGGTCGTCGGTTGATTTCGTGGCACGTGAACGAATAAACAACACGCGACAAGCGCCGAGCGAGGGACACACGTGGAACGTTGAGGAACGTGAATATCCATGGTGGAGGAAACCAACCTCATTGAGAAACGAGGCAAAGATAGATGACACCTCATATTCCCCCTGAATAAATAATTTAAATCAAGTTTGTCAATATTTAAGTTGTTGCCGCGAGTTGTTGGACATCAAAGTCGGGGCTAAATCCAGCAATAGCGATGGAAAAGTGCGACGAAAACGCTAAAATGATAGCATCAAGCCTACGTAAATTGTCTTTTTTAAGTAAATGTTAAGGTGGCGCGCTTGCCACCTTCAAACTCCTTTTTACATTGTATACTGCATGAACTAGAACCAGGATAATGAGACAATAAGCCTCATTCACATTTTTGTCCCTTCGCGCAAAAATATATTTAAAAAAATTACATCCCATCAGCCACACACAACCTTCAGTGCAGCAAACTCCGAGTCGGTTTCGACATTCAGTGGCTCATCAGTAGCCAGGTTTGCTTGAACCAATGCTGGTGAATAGCCAGATGTTTATACTGTAGGCTAGGACCCTCTCTTTAAGACATGGGTCCTAGTTTAATTCAAACCTATATAAACCATAACACAATAATCATGTGCGTCCGGCCAGAGTTAATGTGACCCTTGTAGGTCCAATAAGTCCAGAGTGGGATCACGGTACAATACGATGTGGCCAACACAGGACTATAAAAATAATATTCTCAACAGCCCTTTGTCAATCCACTGCTGGATGAAGGTCTCAACTTGGCATGTTGGTCATGGATGTTGTTTGGACACACTTCATCGTGCTGGCCAGTACAAGTTTATGATGTGCACGCCCTACACTAAATCAGATATTACTCACCACTGCCGTTATCTCTGACCAGGAATTGAACTTAGGTTCCTGGGGTCATAGTGCAACGTGCTAACCACGACTCACTCCTTTTTTTAGTACAGCACTATACAAAACTTAGACCACAACTAAAATTGGCTAAACACCACATTGCATTTTAACATCACATTTAGTGTAAATTATCGATGTGAAAGTAATGTTGGAAGCTCAGTAAAGTAGTTATACACTATATTTTTAAAAATGCTCGTTTGAGTGATTGCCGAAAGTCTAGACAGTAATACCTTGCCAACTGCAGGGATTGGTAAATTCGCTGTTGGTAAAGTACATGGGCCTATGGGAAATAGTGGGTTAGGGTCAGACTTAACGAAGTTTACTGTTTATTAACTAAACACCGAATAAAATACAGTACATTGCACAACAACACAATAAACCATTAATATACATTACATTAACTTTACATACCTTTAATATTAACTATGATGATGATGACGAGATGATGGGTAAAGGGCTGGCTAAGAGGACGGGCTCAGCCCGACCCTCCTCTTCCACCGGGCCACAGACGCAACACTCACCTTCACAACTCTCTGCGAGCCTTGGGTCCATGATAAAAGGCAAAATTAACATGTACCGTATAGTATTGTACAACAAAACAGACGGGCAGCTGATCAGCTAAGCAGCACCACGGACCTGCGAAATTTGTAACAATGATGCCACGCAATACAATGAAGTCATGCAATAATGCAACGTCATACTAACAGCGTCATTTGATTTCCTTAACACCGTGCTTTGCTCGTGGATACTGACATTTCCAGGCCGCGTTTGGTGAATTTAAATACTGTACAATTATTTCGTGAGACGGAGCGTGAATCTGACCGATCGTTGAGGTAGCAATGTGGAGAAGGAAGAAAGAGGATTGGGTAGCGACAGACCAAGAGGTGCCTCGCGTCTCACCTGAGTCAGCGAGACAACATGGCAGATGCGATTGTGTTTACTTGTAGTGGAGTAAAAGATACGCATGGGTATATTGGCCATATACAGTACATACAGACATACAAACAGTGTGGGTCACATAAGGTCGAGCAGGTGGTGAAGTCACGGGTGGCGTAAACAAACCAAAGTAATTAAGGGAGTCATGGCACGAGGGCTGTGATTGATCGAGAGGCTGTTAGCGTTAAGTGGCGGCGTCACGAAGTCTGGACCGTTGGACAGGTGCGAGCTGGCGGAAAAATGCCAGCGAGACACGTGGCAATTAATTAAGGCTGATTGGAAAGGGGATAAAACGCGAGGCGATTTGGACGGGGAGTTGAGTTGTTGTTGGGGAGTTGTTGGCGAGAGGTGGGGAGAGCAGCGAGAGATGCGAAGAGGAGAGCCGGCAAATGTTAGGGAAGAATAGATTGAGAGCCAAACCCAAAGGACAGTAAATAGCGATAGGGAGAGTTAGCGTTAGCAGAGTGGTAGTTACGGGAGAGATAGGTACAGGGAGAGTTAGAGATGGACAAGTCGCTGTGTGTGAAGAGATAGACGAGTCACTGTGTGTGTGGAGATAGATAAGTCACTGCGTGTGAGGAGATAGACGAGTCACTGTGTGTGAGGAGATAGAGAGAGAACCACTGTGTGTGGGGGGAGTGAAGAAGGGACTGTGTGGGAAGACAAGGAGTATGAGCGGACGGTGCTGAGGGGAATTCGAGTGTTCGAGTTGGCGGAGCGCGGAGAGGAGAAATTATAGTGTGTGCGGAACGATGGAAATAAAAGTGACAGTGGAAGAAAGGCGGTTGTCGTCCGAGTGAATTCACGGCACTACAAACTCAAACCAAGATGCTCGTGGTTGGTAAACAGATATACAGAAGTAAATCTGGGTATACTCAAATCTCGAAATTGGTAAATTCGTTGTTGGCAAGGGATTACTGTATTGCCTACTGACAAAAAAGGTGAATTTGCTAATGGTGTTATATTTTATCTTGCAGATGGCTTTTAAAGTCAAGCTTGCCAGAAGAATGTTGATGTGCACTCCTGTGATCCTCTGTTTAATGGGTTTTATAAAAGCCTCATTGAGAGAGATGAACGATCCTGCTTCACACTGCCACATCAAAGACGAGGGTCGAACTGCAGACTGTTCACATCGTGGGCTGACACACGTGCCTCGGGGTCTCTCAGCTGATATCACTCGTCTCGACTTGTCCTACAACAACATAAAGGCTCTTGAAGTCGGGGATTTCTCCAGTACCCCAAACCTGCAAGTACTCACCTTGGCCTTTAACCACATTCAGAAGATACATCCCCAAGCAATGGCCACCCTCAAACGTTTATATTACCTGGATCTCTGCCAGAACAATCTCTCAGAGAAGCCTGGAGAGGCTCTTGGTAGCCTCCCAAACCTGCAAGTTCTCAATATCTCCATGAACAACTACACCTCATTTGCTTTGGGAGTGGACTTCTCCAGAATGTCGAACTTACGAGACCTCACCATCGGAACGTCAAAAACCACAACACTAAATGCGTCTGACTTCCAAGCACTGGAAAGCGTCCCCCTAAAATACTTGAACTTGAACACTGGTTCACCTCTTTGGGTTTACGAGACTGGGGCTCTTACCCACTTGCGATCTCTGGAAAAACTTAACACGAACGTCTCTGTTGACAAGGACCCACTCGTTTTATCAAAAATGTTGACAGACCTGAATAATACAAACATTTCTGAGCTTGAAATATTTAGAATTTTGAACAATCCTCTCAAAAACGCATCTATTGATTTCTTCAAAGGGCTTGGATCAAGTAATTTACTAAAAAATATGACGCTAATTGAAGCAAACTTTACTGATAAAGAAGTAAGTAACTTGCTCAAAAATATATATTTATCAGAGTTGACAATGCTTGTATTTAAAAATTCTTCTTACACTGACCACTATCCTGTAATATTTAACGGTGTAAAAAATGTAACAAAAAGGTCATCTCTCAAGAAAATAGTGATAGATTCAATATTTCATCTAAATATGACGTACCCTATTTTTATAGTAAATATGACACTCTTTCCAAATATATCGCAACTAAAGATATCCAACACGGGCATGAACAAAGTAGACTGCTTTTTCATGAAGATGAAAGCCATTAAGCAGCTAGATTTCTCCAGAAATCTTCTCAATGAGGGTGGCCTCTGGTGGGACTCCTGTAATTACACGGTGATCCTTCCTGAAGCCACTGAACTGATCATAAGTCACAACTATTTCAAAGACCTCAAGAAAATATCAGAAATGGTGTCCCTCATGCCTCGCATTAATTCACTGGACGTGAGTTACAATGGCATTAATTACATCGAAGAGTGTAGGTGGCCATCCTCTCTCGAGAGGTTGATCCTTCGTAACAATGAAATCAGTAAAGAGTCTGTAATCTGCACTTCTGCCAACCTCAAGTTTTTAGACCTCTCCTACACAAGATTGGAGAGCTTTCCCAATTACATCTTGACCAATGCAACATCTCTGCAGGAGCTCCATCTCACTGGGAATCTCATAAAATATATTTCTTCTGATGTAAAATCTCAATCTCTTCAGGTACTATATGTGGACTATAATGCTGTGGGCATCATTGGTCAAGGCACATTCCAGCACCTCCAGAAAATCAAGTCAATTACCCTTGGAAACAATCCGTTTTACTGCATGTGTGACCTTTACTGGTTCCGGCAACATTTTAATAAGACACTTCTAAATGGCTGGCCAAACGATTACACATGCAGCTACCCAGAATATTTGTCTGGTAAGGAAATGGATTACTTCAACCCTAATATCTTAAACTGCGACAGAATAATTGCAATTTCTGTCAGTGTTGTTGTTACAGTGGTCGTCATAGCCCTTGTCATCGGCATTGGACATTATTTTGATGCCATATGGTACATACGCATGGGTTTTATTTGGGTGTCTGCAAAGAGAAGGAGATACAAAATAATTTCAGGAGAAGAGGATCTCCCTTTCCAGTATCACGCGTTCATCTCTTACAGCCACCTGGATTCCGAGTGGGTACAGAACACGTTGGTCCCGACACTTGAGCATTCGAACCCTGACCTGCGGCTGTGCATCCACGAGCGAGACTTCACACCTGGACATTGGATCGTAGACAACATCATTCAGTGCATCGAGAAGTCGTCCAAGACCCTGTTCGTCCTCTCCAGGAACTTTGTGAACAGCGAGTGGTGCCACTACGAACTATACTTTGCACAGCACCGCATGGTGGAGGAGAACCAAGACTCGCTCGTTCTGCTGCTGCTCGAGCCACTGCCCAAGGGCTCGCTGCCAAGCAAGTTTTGCAAACTCCGCCGCCTCCTGAGCAACAAGACCTATCTGGAGTGGCCGACGGAGGAGAGAAAACGCGCCGTCTTCTGGACCAGCCTCAACGCTGTGCTGCAGTCGAGACCACCACCACATTCCGATTTAGGCTCCTAGAAAAAGGGGGGTGGCTATATTGCTCCGATGTCACTTGAATGGGTATGATTTCCCCCAGTATATTCTCTATTTAGTTTGTAATTATATGTATACAACCTACTATTGCATAGCTTTTTAAAATTAATATTCATATATTTGTAATGATTCATAACATTTTCCATGTAAATATCTCAATATTTCTGCCATGAGGTCGGTCTGAATTTTGATACAGGCAGACCTCCCCAAACGCGGGGGTTAAATTCCTGGAAAATTGAATGTTGGGTATTATTGCGTTTATAGACCTTTTGGGGAAAATAGGGTTGCGTCTGAAATTGTTTAACTACTTCGACAAGATTACCATCCATTTTATTGTACTAAATGATGATGATTAGCTCTCCATTTCTTGTCTATGTGTGTGTAAACTTTATTTTTCAATTTCACCTCAACACAAACCGCCCATCTCCATTTATCTTTCCGTACCGCGGCACTAATGACACTGAATTGTCAGCCAAAATGCTCGCCTTTAACACTATCTCTGCCTGGTGCTTTTTCTGGTCTCAGACTCTGGATCACCTTCCGTACTTCCTAAACAAATGGCACTTCAGCCAGCCAATCACAGGGGGTGACTACTTCTTCCAATATTTGAGGCACCGCAGCCTCAGGAGGGTCATCCCACTTTGCCACATGATGTTTTCCCGGCTGAGGGATTCCCCCTCTCTCAAGATCTCACAAAAATGCTCAGCAAATCTGCAAACTTGTTCTTGGGGTTGGAGATTTGATCACCTTTCTTTTTCCTAATGATGGTGATAGTTTTAGCACTGCAAGTTACTTTTTGATGGAGTTAAAGAGTGATGTGTTATCGCGGGCTACTTAGGCAGATTCCATCTCATTAGCGACCCGCGACCACCACCCATCCTTGTAACGTTGCACGGCTCTCTGAACCTCCCGAGTATAGGCTGCTGTAAGCCTCATTCTCTGACGTGGGATGCTGTAGATTGTGAGAGTGGTCCTGTCGCTTTTTCTCAGCCAGCTGGAACACCTCCTCTGTCAGCCAGGGTCTCTGGGGAGGTTTGGACCATGCACCCAAATCAGTCATTGCAGCTGCATGAGCCACGGTCCTAAACCTCACCTTTTTTCCTCGGCATCAGGAGGAGTGGGGGAGGATGCAAACCCCAGCTGCAAGTGATGATAAAATTCTCACAACTTTCATCAGCTAGCTGAGACCAGGCCACTGTGGGTTTGAATGGCAAGCACATCTTACAGATGACAAGCCGATGGTCAGTGGGCAGATCAGCTCCATAGTAGGTCCTGGTGTCAAGGATATGGGCCCGCATCCACTATTCCATCACTATACAGTGAGGGAAAAAAGTATTTGATCCCCTGCTGATTTTGTACGTTTGCCCACTGACAAAGAAATCATCAGTCTATAATTTTAATGGTAGGTTTATTTGAACAGTGAGAGACAGAATAACAACAAAATCCAGAAAAACGCATGTCAAAAATGTTATAAATTGATTTGCATTTTAATGAGGGAAATAAGTATTTGACTCCTCTGCAAAACATGATTTATTACTTGGCAAATCCCTTGTTGGCAATCACAGAGGTCAGACGTTTCTTGTAGTTGGCCACCAGGTTTGCACACATCTCAGGAGGGATTTTGTCCCACTCCTCTTTGCAGATCTTCTCCAAGTCATTAAGGTTTCGAGGCTGACGTTTGGCAACTCGAACCTTCAGCTCCCTCCACAGATTTTCTATGGGATTAAGGTCTGGAGACTGGCTAGGCCACTCCAGGACCATAATGTGCGCCTTCTTGAGCCACTCCTTTGTTGCCTTGGCCGTGTGTTTTGGGTCATTATCATGCTGGAATACCCATCCACGACCCATTTTCAATGCCCTGGCTGAGGGAAGGAGGTTCTCACCCAAGATTTGACGGTACATGGCCCCGTCCATCGTCCCTTTGATGCGGTGAAGTTGTCCTGTCCCCTTAGCAGAAAAACACCCCCAAAGCATGTTTCCACCTCCATGTTTGACGGTGGGGATGGTGTTCTTGGTGTCATAGGCAGCATTCTTCCTCCTCCAAACACGGCGAGTTGAGTTGATGCCAAAGAGCTTCATTTTGGTCTCATCTGACCACAACACTTTCACCCAGTTGTCCTCTGAATCATTCAGATGTTCATTGGGAAACTTCAGACGGGCATGTATATGTGCTTTCTTGAGCAGGGGGACCTTGCGGGCGCTGCAGGATTTCAGTCCTTCACGGCGTAGTGTGTTACCAATTGTTTTCTTGGTGACTATGGTCCCAGCTGCCTTGAGATCATTGACAAGATCCTCCCGTGTAGTTCTGGGCTGATTCCTCACCGTTCTCATGATCATTGCAACTCCATGAGGTGAGATCTTGCATGGAGCCCCAGGCCGAGGGAGATTGAGAGTTATTTTGTGTTTCTTCCATTTGCGAATAATCGCACCAACTGTTGTCACCTTCTCACCAAGCTGCTTGGCAATGGTCTTATAGCCCATTCCAGCCTTGTGTAGGTCTACAATCTTGTTCCTAACATCCTTGGAGAGCTCTTTGGTCTTTGCCATGGTGGAGAGTTTGGAATCTGATTGATTGATTGCTTCTGTGGACAGGTGTCTTTTATACAGGTAACAAGCTGAGATTAGGAGCACTCCCTTTAAGAGTGTGCTCCTAATCTCAGCTCGTTACCTGTCTAAAAGATACCTGGGAGCCAGAAATCTTTCTGATTGAGAGGGGGTCAAATACTTATTTCCCTAATTAAAGTGCAAATCAATTTATAACATTCTTGACATGCGTTTTTCTGATTTTTTGTTGTTGTTATTCTGTCTCTCACTGTTCAATTAAACCTACCATTAAAATTATAGACTTATCATTTCTTTGTCAGTGAGCAAAAGTACAAAATCAGCAGAGGATCAAATACTTTTTTCCCTCACTGTATAGTCCAGCAGATGTTTTTGCTTGGACCCGGCCTGCGTCCATGATGTTGGTGGATGCGCCGATGCTGGAAAAGCATGTTGGAAATTACCAAGTCCATGGGCTGTACAAAAGTCTAGCAGCCTCATGCCGTTGTTATTGAGCTGATCTGGCCCATGCCTTCCAATCACTCCAAATCATGGTGCCAGCATCTTGACCCACCCGGGCATTGAAGTCACCCAACAAGATGACTCTATCCCGAGGGGCCACTGTAGCTAGCACCTGTGACAGGAGGTCATAGAAGGCATCTGACTCATTGGCCTTGCCTGCATCCCTCCATGGATGTTCTTCTTCGGTGGGGGCATAAGTAACCACGACCACCACTCCTCGCCTCTGGTTGATGGGAAGGCGAGCCAAAAGTAGCCTGGGACTTACAGCTTCCCACATCTCACCGCCATGCTCCCACACCCCCTTCATTCTTTTGTTCAGAAGACGAGCCACTCTCTGTTGTTTGGCAGTCTCCTACCCCAAGTAGAGGACTGTCCACCCCTCATGGCGGCAGGAGCCAGAGCCTGTCCATCAGACCTCCTGAATACCACAGAGATCCAGGCAGTACCGGTCCAACTCCCGACAGAGGAGTGGCAGCCTCTCCTCCGCTTTGAGCGTTCGAACATTCCACATAGCCACCCTTAGTGGTTTTTTTCTGTTTCTGGAGGAACCCCGAGGGTAAGGATTCAGTCTCCTGGCTCTGCCAGGAGACGCCTGCCCCCCTGGGGCCTATGGCACAAGTTTAGTTAGATTTTTAACACGTGTTTTAGTGGCAGTTAGTTTGAAGGCAGAGGTGTCACCAACCCCTCGCACTCATCCAGAGCCCCCATTGGCCGCTGTGGTGGCTACAAGCACCATGAGGGGAAAAGTCAAATGAAATTGGCCGTTCCCCCCATGGAATTGCTCGCGTCCACCACAGCGTTACTGTCCAGCACCACCGAAGAGGTAGGGGGTTCTTTTTGCTGGATGGTGCAAGCCCACCACACCACATACATCTCCTTTGGTGGCTCCCTTGACAGCGACGATGCATGGTCGTTCCCCACGAATTTCACAAACGAAGATTGTTACACATGGTAGCGTCAACTACATTAAATACTATGCGCTTACGATATTTTTGGTGGGGAATGACTGCTGATGTGGCTCAGCGGGTTGCACAATGTGAAGACTGTGCAAACCGTAAAGCGTCTCTTTGTCCAATACAATATCCACTGCAGTCAATACCAGTGTCACGTATTAATGAACTCTTTGTGCTGGGTATTATTGGATCCCTACCAAAAACACACATCGGGCAATCTCTACCTGTTGGTTGGCATGGAGTATTTTTCATGTTGGCCCATAGCTTGTCCCATGCCTGACCAGAAGGCAGAAACAATTGCAGATACATTCGTTACCGGTTATGCTTGGATAAGGGGGCACCAGAAAAATAACTCATAGACCAAGTACAACATTTTTCTTCCTTACTCTTTGGTTCTTTCGGTAAAGTCACGTAGTTAGAAATAAAATCAAATAAAAGCAAATCGCCACGTTTCGATTGCAACACAAGCAATCATCTTTAGGTGGAAAAACCACAGCAATATATTTGTTTGCTGAAGTGGGAGAGAGATGCCGTGGTAAGAGGTTATATAGATAAGAGAGGGGCAAGGGGGGAGAGAGAAGGGGGGGGGGGGGGCGTTGCGTGGACGCTCGGAGAGGGACGTGAAGCTGGATGGGGGGAAGTGGGCGGGGCTGCAAGTGGGAGGCCGAGAGAGCTGGGGATGCGGGGGGGACGTTAACTCGGAAACACGGGCGGTGCACGAGTGCCAATTAACTAACAATGCCAATGAAGCAACGATGCCAATGCAGCAGCAATGCCAAACGCTGGGGATGCGGGGGGGGGGGGGAATTAAATCGAAAAAATAGACTACTACCCAGCATCTTCTTGGTTCTTTCGGTACAGTCACCACGTAGAATGAGAATACAATAATAAAATAAAATAAGACAATAAAATTCTCACGACGTTTCGGCCACAACACAAGTGGCCTTCTTCAGGTGAAGAGACAGGTCTGTACGGAAGACAGAGCTCGAATGGGCGCCGTCATGTATGGACCGCGTCTATTAAGCTGTGTGGGCGGAGTTAAAACATGAGCCTGCACGTTACCAGCATCACCTCCGGAGAGGAGGAGGGACGGGGGCTGGAAACACAAGCAGAGAGGAATGCAAGGAACGCATCTATCAAGTTGTGTGGGCGGAGTCAGAACAGGAGCCCGAATGTCATCAGCTCCGGAGAGGAGGAGGGAGGGGGGGGGCTGGGAACACAGACAGAGAGGGATAAAATGGGCAAGTACAACAGCCAAGGTGCGCTGTTGTGTCCTGAGCAGCTTCATGACTATGCTATAAACTGGACTACTATACACTACAATATTATATCTTCCAATCTAAACTACATGGTATAACATCATATCATAGACAAATTCCACCGTGAATTATACAATGCGTTGCTTTACACTACCCTATACTTTAGATTATAAACTATTTGACTTGTGATATTACATATTGAAGAAGGCCACTTGTGTTGTGGCCGAAACGTCGTGAGAATTTTATTGTCTTATTTTATTTTATTATTTTATTCTCATTCTACGTGGTGACTTTACCGAAAGAACCAAGAAGATGAATCCCTGCAGTCACGAAAGCTTTAAAAGCGAAATTTAGTACCCAGCAGATACGATGGAACAACCATAAACATTTTGCTTTGTTCACGTGTATATGGGGACAAAAGTTTGATTTTCTTACACTTTATGACTATACAAATTATGGGGATATGGTGTAAAGGGGAATATGTTCACGTTTTCATGATTCATGGGTTACGCGTGGGCGGGTTTTATTTTTGTAGGGGGGGGGTGTTGCGATCTGTGAAGATTACTGGGATCTGGATACTTTGTGTGAAATCCTGGGGGGGGATTAAATGATATATTTCATAAAATACATGTTAAATGTATTTTTCAGATCGAGTAATTTCAATAAACTGACAGTACTTGTTTAAGTAAAAATGAGTTTATATGATCTGTTTCGGTTTTATTTGGCTTAACCAGGTAAGAACTCAACAGACCAGAATGATAGTCTGAGGTAGTCTGAGGTCAAGTAGTCTGAGGTCAATGAAGTCTCTGTCCTATTTCCACGATGCAGACACGTTACTAAACATAACGGCATCTTGTGTTTAGTTGTGTCGTGTGGGAAAGACCAGCTCATG